TAGAAAATATGGCTGCAGTTCAACACAGTAGACTGTCTGTAGTCGGCACACGCTATCCCAGCAGACACTGCTTCTCTCATCATCTCCTTCATCCTGTGCTTTATTGTCGGAGTCTGTATGTGAGTGGATGGTCATCCATATAGCAGTGCTAAGAACTCAAACAGCTTCTGTCTGGCCTTGGACACGGGACGGCTCATATGGCTCCATGCTGTCTAGAATAAGTCGTTGCATACTTTCTATTGTTTATCACTCATTCAGCTGGTCTAAGCCCGAGTTACATACTCTCTGATACATCAGTAGTAGGAATGGATTGTGGCCACTCTTCAGTTTTTTTGTAAAACTCTGAAGTGCTGTTTATGATTTTAGCAGATTTCTCTTTAAAAACTATAACTTTCATTGAACCGGGAAACGTTTTTCGTCACATAAAGATTAATGGGAAACTGAAATTGAAATGCATGAAAGTAGAGGAATAGATATACGATAAAACCTTTACAAAAAAACCAACACAGATTCTGCTGAAGACAAATGAATAACTGATAAATGCTAATAACTGATCAATGTTTTATTTGCCTTCAGCATGTTTTGTTCTTTCTCAGCTAGAGAAAAATTCAGCTTAATTGTATCCATCCATCTTCTACCTCTTGTCCGTCAGCGTCTCAGTGGGCTGCTGCCTACCTCCCGCAGTGTTTGAGTGAAGGGCTGGAAGAACCTTGAACAGGTTACCAATCCATCGCTGGGCAACACAGGAACACACAACAATACATACACACACTTTAGGTGGTCATCAGTTAACCTAACAGGTCATGTTTTGGAACTGTGGGAAGAAGCTGGAGGATCCAGACCAAGGTACCAAGCCGGGGACTGAACCCAGGACCCTCTTTCTTTCTGCTGGGCAACAGCTCTGTTAGTGCCACCTATAACACTGAACATGAAACGTTGATTAATGTTTGCTAAATGAAATATAAATTCATGTTGTACATACAAACTGATGCTTTTATGTTTTTGAAAGAAAAGTTTGTATAAATATATATGATAAAAAATATATTTTTTTATTTAAAAGAAAAGCAATAAAGATCATAACAAAATAAAACCCTTTTATAAGAGGGGGTAATAAGTCCTTTAACTTTACAAATAAAACAAAACCCCAGGATGTACAGACTCCTGCCATTTCTCTTGACATTTCGCCACTTGATGACTCAAAAGCAGTCTGGTTTAGATCGGGTCGCTGCATCTCCCTCCTTTCTACTGATATGGAACCACTCCATTGTTTAAGTAAGTGTTGATGGTTCAGTGTAAGTTGCACGAGTGGAAGCAGACATTTTATTAAGGTTATGCAGAGTTTTGAAGGCTGCAAGTGCTTTCACCACCTGCCTTTTTCCTTCGTATATGTGCCACAGCATTTGTTAAGCCTTGTTTATGGCTGCAGATGGTGACTGCAGTCGACACTGGAAGGCCTAACAAATGTGATTTAGATTCTCCCCCCCGTTTCTCCCTTAAAGCTGTTATAATAGCGTTCAAGTGACATCAGCCTTTGCAGCTGGATGGAAGACAATTAAACGTGCAGAGAGGTTGGGGTGCTGGGCTTAAATGGGAGGGTGTAACTTTGGAATTTGCCTGTTGACAACCTCAGCCTGTAACCTCATCATAAACCGTATTAGCCACGGCTGCACGCAATAATGTCACATCAGCGAGTTCCAGCACTCTGCATCAGCCTTCATTTTCAAACCCCCACATAAAATAGTGGTTACAGTCTGGCAATTACAGTGTGGGTAGACATTTTTTTTTTTTTTTTTAAGGGAGAGAATGTCCCCAGATTGCTTGACCCTTAAGTGAGACGGTTACAGAAGAATTGTTTACACATTCCTGACTTGCATCAAAATTATTTACAGTAGCTTAATGAATGCTTAATTGTTAACTGGGTGGTGGAAATGATTAGTGGCTGCAGGGGGACAGCTGATAAAATGGATAAAGCTGCAAATCCGTTTAATCTTTAAGCATTTCGCCAGCAGAACACTGCTCTGATATGTGTCCCCTCTAACAGGGTAATTAGACTGAGAATAAATTAAAACTTAAATTATTGCTAAACTATGTATATATAACAAGGTTTCCCAAAACAAATTATCTATTTAAATGCATGCTGTAGTAAATCTTTTGTCCAGGCTGATACTGAGTGAACCAAAGGAAGGGTAGCGCCCCCCCCTGCATTCAGCTAATTAGATAATTTTACATGGCAATCTCAGCACACTTTCTCTCACAAAGGAATTTGTAATGCAAGGCTGAGTCGGCTAGAGCCAGGGATTTGTTAAATGCGAACATCACAAAAGCCGATGTTTAAGCTCACAACAGTTAGAAAAGGTATGATGGGTGGGGGTATTTTGAAAAAGTGAGATCCTCTCCAGATAAGGGTTCATTAAATGCTAATTCACCCTCGTTTGCAAAACCTTTCAGATTGCTATCAGTCTGTTTGTTTGTGTGTGAGAACAAGATGGTATTTTTCACATCTGTATGTCAGAGTGTAAGCAAGTGAAATTAGCAGGTATTAACTAAAACATTTTCGACTGAATTTTCCTTTTTTATATTTATTTCTGTGCGTTTTGACACATTTAAGTGTGTGGCTCTTGGCTCATGTCATAACTGGTTCTACACAAAATGCTGGGCCTTGTATTATCCATGACCCTGTTGCTCTGTGGTGTCCAGTGGTGTCATGTGCTGCATAGTTGCACTGTTTGCTCTAGCGTCCCCTCTAATGTTTGCCTGAGATAAAGTTGGTGTTGTTGTGCTCTTATGTTTTGAAATGTTTTCCTCAAATAGATTCGGTTGGGCTGCAAAGGACAAGTGTGCATACTTGGTCTGAAGTTTCAATAAGTAGATTTAAAAATAGGAAGAAGCAGATATTCCATTATAGCCTGTATACTATTCAGTCTCTTTAGCAATGATCTAAACTGAGATGGGCGTCTGTGTTCCACCCAATGAGTAAACATTTTTTGGAATAACTGATTTTGACAGAAATACATCTGCAAGTCTTTTTGGGAATGACTCAACGATCTTCACAGATCTCTAGTCATGCGGTTTGCCGATTCTCATGTCGCCATCTGACTGGAGAGAGATCATTTTTGGTTATTAAAGCTTTGGATAGAGTAGATTTTCTTTTGGGTTTACATGTGTGCTTTGACTAGGCCCTTTTTATCATGATTTAATCTGACAAATTAATTGTATTTCTAGATGCTAAAAGTCTTTTTTTCTGGATCGTTGTATATATTTAGCTCCTCTGTTTCTGGTTTGTGTCTTGCTAGGGCTCCATGATGGATTGAAAAATTCTCCATTAGATGTTGAAATATTGAGACATTGTCCTGTAACCTAACTCTGCTTTAATTTCTTACCAAATTCATCCTTCACCTTTTTGGTCTATTCCTTGGTCTGTTTGTTTCTCTATTTTTTCACTAAACTTTGATCACTCTTTTTTACACAGAGATTAAATTACAAACATGCAGTCTATATTAACTGATTTGGTAAATTCTAAAAGCAAAGAGTTGCTTTGGATTATATTCACGGTTATTAGAGAAAAAAAGAATGCAATTTTAAAACGTCTCTGTCAGCATAAAATAAGGCATTACCCCTTGTTGGTCCATGACTCACAAACCAATATGAGAAAACCTGTTATTGATTCTGAGTATTGTAGCTCCGCTGAGATGTCCCTGTGCTTGCTTTTTAACATTAACATCATTGTTTCTTTTTCCCCAAACCAAACAAATTGGATACCAAATGGGATTTTCTCCCCCACATGTTTCTCCATCATTGTTCTGTTTCTTTTTTGAGGTATTGCAACTACAGCAACTGTAATTCTTTTAAAAACTGTGGTTTCATCTCTTTGTTCTCCAAAAAGTTGTCTTAAAAGCTGTAAAGGTGGCAAAGCTTTTAGAGTTTTGTTCTTTTGCCACAACCCCTCTTTGACTTCCCTGTTATATTTTCCATTTAACCTATTGGATTACATTTCTTTCTTCATCAGGGGTAATGGATGATTTATGTGGGATTTATGTCTGTGATTTATGAAGATGCTGGAATTAAGCACAATGTAAATCATGGTGCCTTTTTACAGATTCCTGAGCCATGCGTAGCTGTTATCCTCGAGGGGAGGATGCTAAGTTTAGCCCCAAAATAAACATTTGTATACTATTGGAAGATCCAGAGCAGGAATGGGCGGGTCTTTCCTGATTTTTAAGCCCCCCAGACAATGTCTGGTGCCAATGGTTCCTTTCCTCTGTTACCCACATGGAAAGAAGTGCGTCTGGTACTTGTTGGGTCAATTGTGTCCGCACTGACATCATCGCTGAGGCAGCCATTTTTTTTCATTCCTATCCTCGCCCAAATCTTGACTGAACACATTAACGTATCGTCAGTAACTTTTTACAAATCACTTTCATCTCTGAAATCCGTGCAGGATTGTTAATGCTCCCGGGCTCACTTGTAGACCCACCACCCTCTTAAGTATTGGAAGTGGTTGGCTGCCCTTCCTCTGCTCATATAGTAGAAATCCAAGGATAAAGTCTATAGCGTCCCAGCTGTAGAAACAAGAATGTGACTCCACTTAGCCGTTCTGCTCTCTTGTTTTTCTATTGAATCATGCCCCTCAGGAGAATGTGTGACCATGCAAGTGCATCTCCTTCTGCGTCTTTAAAAAGAAAAAAAGAAGTTGATGTGTGAGCGTCACATGTACACATGTGATAGCAACAGTTTCCAGTGACTGGTTGGGGTATATAAACACAAAGCTGAAACCTGTTAAAATGTTCTGCTTGTGTAAAAAATGAAACTGCACACCTCTCTCTGGGTTGTAAAATAGGCATGCTGCTTTCAGCGGATATGTCTGGAGGGCGACGGGAAATGGATGCCACACTAAGAGCAGCAGGCTTTAATGATGCTTTAATGTCATGTTTCTGATGTTTGAGATTTGTTATCTTTTAACATTTGTAAAAAAATAAATAAATTGTTTCTCTCCTCTCCAGTGCAAGCGTGGTTATTGGAGCCCCCAAGGCCAACACGAGCCAGACCGACGTCACAGAGGGAGGGTCTGTCTTCTACTGTCCGTGGAGCATCAGCGAAACAAACTGTCACACCATTGAATTTGATCCAAAAGGTAAGATTTATAACTGCTACACATGCAAGAACAACTTGTTATGTAGTCATTCGGTATGAGGATATAATGCAAATCACCTGGTCCTTTTTAGATTAATTAATTCAAATGTGACCTCAAGTTTACAAAAACACTCATCGGATTGAATTGAGTCATTGTTTATCAGGCAACGATGAAGTCAGAATAAAAAAGCTAAACGTACCCCCTCATCTAAACAGAAAAAAGCAATGATTATAAGATGTTTTCAGCATTATCACCCTCACACATCTCTGTAAGGAAAGTTCAGGCCCACATTTTGGGAAGTTGTTTCAGTTCATTAATATTTTGCAGATAATAATTTCTAAAACCTTTCTTCAAAGGTCTAAACAAAGCGTTTCAATCTGGTTGTTGCCTGCTCCGTGACTGAACCGCTGCAACACCTAGATTCTTATCTTTGTCAGCTATTCGCTCTTTGTGTTTTTGTGCTGCAGTTTGCCTAATGAAGTTGACTCTGGTAGGTTTGTGATGTAGTCAATCATCTATACTTTTAATTCATAGGAACAATTTTCCAGAAGTCTTTCAGTGGAATTATTTGCAAGTTTTTAAACACTAAAGACGAAAGGCTTCATGCTTTAACTGTTCCTAACAGTTGTTTTTCTAATTGTACTGGTACAATAAGATGGTTCTATGCTCATTCCACCATGAGCATATAACCATCAACTGGGGCTTATTACCAATTTTACAAATCTTTGATTAGCAAAAATTGATTTTAGCACATTTTTTTTTCATCTTAAAGATCTAAAGCTGACAGCAAAATACTTATTTTGCCTTCTGGATTATTTTTTTATATAAATATCAAAATATTAGTTGGAAAAAAAAATTAACTGTAAAGCTCTTTTTTCTATTATGGTTTTAATAGAAACTTGCCTTAACTTTGAGATATCCAAAGGACTAAAATTTCCTTTTCCAACATGATTTTTGACAGACTGAATTTTACTTGTTGGAAGGATAACTTAAGTAAAGTTGTTATGAATCTAGAAGGAGAATGCGATCCCACAATACGTTGCGGGCTGCAGTAATCATTTCCCTGTGGAGCGGCTTTTGCCTACATTGCTGATTTGGATACAGAGCTGTAGGAGAGAAGCAAAGTGCCTTAAAAATGGACCCTACAAAGGAGAATGCTAATTGGGTGTAACAAAAACAATTTGGATCCTGTTCAAAGGTTTCTCTATCTAAAAAACTGGATGTAGTCTTTACACTACCTGCTGCTGTTCTCAGAGGCTGATTTTGTTTATTATGAGGTTAGTGCAGCTGATGTTTGTACCTGTGAGGAATTCAGAAATATTCAGTCTTTGAGGACTCATTGACAAGGCAACAGTGGGTCCAGGACCTCTGACTTTTTTTGTTTTAAAGACAAAACTGTCATCATTTCAGAGGTATGCAAAGGGCATTCCTTCATCTCACAGGGATTTTCAGATTCTTTAGTGACACGTGTTTAAAATACGTTAAGCCTAAAAATGCCATGGAAACGCCCATGTGTGTTGGGATAGGTTTTGCTGTTTTTATTGTTAAATAATGATGGAGTATGTGTTGTTGATGGCAGACCTATATAATCATTAAACCTTGTAGGTCATTGTTCTTATTTTCAGGTACGTTTTGGTCGGGTTATCAAAGCTTTTAGTTTTTTCAGTTTCAAATTGTTTTTAATTTTTTTTTGCAATTTTGCTTATTTGTATTGGAACATAACACCTTAGGTAATGTTCTGAGCTTGTTAAAGTTTTGTTTTAATCTTGAGGTGATCAGATCATTTCCTCTTTGGATCAGTTGTCAGTCTTTGCCTCCAGTACAAACGTTGCCTTTATTTGTTCCTAATGTGGACTAGTCCTGCGTTTGTGCTTTTTGTAGCATCTATTTGGGTTGAAGAAGGATAATAGGGTGTTGAACAGTTTTTTTTGTGTGTGTGAATTACTTCCTCCGTCCTCCAGGTCATGTTTGTTTACTGGTTGCTTATCTCCATTGAACTCCTCGAGCGAGGTGACACAAATAGACCGAAACAAAGACATATCCTGTTTGTATGACAGGTGAAGGTAGCAAACGTCACAAAAGAGGTCCCTGTTCAGTCCAAATGCAACTTAAGGAAGTTTGGGAGGTTCTCAGATGGATTCATCTTTCACCTGACCGAGTCCCCATCAGTGCCTTTTTTATCACAACATAGACTTTTTAAACAAAAAAGTATGCAGATAAAAGGGTATTGTTCAAACTTTTAAAACATCAAACTTAACTTGTTAACTTCCAGTAAGAATTATGTATACAAGAGAGAAAAATCCCTCTGTTTCATAAGCTGAAATGAACTTCTTTTACTGAATCTATCAGGGCTTTTTCAGTTTCCTTGCATGTGTATCATGGTTGCTGGCCAAAGACCACAGGGAGTGATGTCATGCTCAAGCAGTAAGGCCTCAGAGTCAAGGTTTGTCCCCTGGGCTGTTGGAGTGTCCATATTTTCAAAAAGACTTTTAAGGGGAGCAGATTACACTCGCTGAGCCAGCTCTAACATCTGGATCATTGTATGAGCTGTCGTACAGCACTCAGTACACGGATAGCTGCATGGAAATGTGTCTATGACAAACAGCTGTTACACTTATGACATCCTCTGCTGCTGTTCACTCATTGGAGCTTTCCCTGAACCTTTTTTTCCATTGTTGGCTGTGACTACTTGAGCAAAACGAGGTCTTTGTGGATTTCTTTCACTACAAAAAGTGTTTGTTGCTTGATAGTGTAACCCTATCGGCTGATTTTATTACTGGGACTTTTCAGGTTTTGACAGACTAGCCCCCCGGTAGGTTGCATTTACCTGATAATTGGACGTTTTGGTTGAATGACAATCTTTCGGGGCCTTTTTACAATCCGCTCATAAAAGGTGTCTCTCTACTGCATGTCCAGGATATTTAAAAAAAGATGTTGCCAGAGGACCCCTTTCAGTGTGTTTGAGCTCTGACCTGCAGGCCACAGACCCTCTTAATTAGCCTAACTAATTGGGTCAAAGTGGTCAGAAGCCCCCACCCATCCACTTCCTCTTCCATGGAGATAAGAGGCTGTCCATGAATCTGAGAAAAGGAGAAGCAGCAGGGAGGTTGTTGAGGAGCACATGCAGAAAGAGAGGATCAGAGGGAGGGGATTGAGGAAATGGGGAGAAACCAGAGCCCCCTTCGCTCTGCTTCATCCACCTCCCCTTTTTTTGGTACTCCCACAGGGCCAGCTGATGTGATGAGTGAATTTGACCATTTGTCTTCCACCTCACTGACAAGCACAGAAATACACACTCTGACAATAAGAGGCTCTAACTCCACTAATGGCTATGTCCTCTCGCACGCAGTTTAAAGTAGAATGAGACCAGACCCCCTTGAGTCTTGCACTGGTCCTGGGAGAGACTGGCCTGGCACCATGTCACATCAGCACACTGTACTAACCCAGACTCACCAGAACAATGAGGGGGGCTGTTCAGTTCAGATTGCAATGGTTTTTGTCCAAGCATAGAATGGAGTGGGAATTTTATGATTAGATCAGGATAAAACTAACATAGAAACATGATAAAAATGTTATAAAATCTGCAGCATGATCTTATTTCTTTCCTAAGAGTATAATTTAAAAGCAGGGCGGTGCAGTGGTGCTGTAACTTTGATGCCTTGTAACAAGAAGGTTCTGTGTTTGATTCCTGAGATAGGGACTTTCTGCATAGAGGCAAGGTAACCTTGTAGAACGTTTCAGTGGCAAGATAATTAAAACTACTCTACATTAGGGAAAAAAGCGAATAATATTTTTTCATGAAAAAATAAAGGCACATAAATGTGTCTTTATGCCACATTTCAGTGGCATAAAGGCAACAGAAATAATTAAAGATAATCAAAGTATATCATTTGGATACAATGATTATGTAAAATGAGAAGAAAAATGTTTATTACAAAGTGAAAAGACAATAAATAATTAAGAAAATGGAACAAAAGTTGGACTGGAAACTTAACTAATAAATTATAGAGTTGGCATGTTCCCCCATGCATGTGTGGGTTCTCTCTGGGTACTCCAGTTTTCTTTATTGGGTCAAAGAACAAAATAATTATGCTTTGTTTTATAGCAATTTCCACAGGCAGGGGTCACAAATTGCTTCACTAATAGCAAAGTCGAGATTTTAGCTGCTTTTAAAAGTGTCTGTAGAGTCCAGGGATCGGAGAGAAAAATGAAGATTGTTCTACGGCTTTAAAGATCCATCTCTCTGGTTTTAAAAGAGGTTTAAGGAGCCATAAGCAGATTTTAGACTTAGACAAACTTTATTGTTATTTTGTATACTCATAGTGTATTCATAACAAAATATCTTTGCATAGTGCTTACAAATGTGTAATGATATTGCAGCTGGAGTAATATAAACATTACCAGTATAAAGTGCAGCAGTGATCAGAATGTAACCATGTAGGAGAAAAAGAAACCACTTTAAAATAATGGTGCAAAAGGGCATTAATATGAAAAGGTCCAGTGCAGCTTATAATATATAATATTTTTTTCAATAAAAGATCCTATTTAAAAGCATAAAATTTCAGCAATGTTGGTATTGCAAAAATAATGTTTTGACCTGAGGACCTCAGATTATTTGCCAAGGTGTCGGGCTGGATCAGATCAGTAACCTTACATGACTGTTAGATTGACCGGAGTCTTTAAATTACCCTTAGATGTGTGTTTGCACGGTTGCATGTCTCTGTGATGAAGTGGTGACCTGTCCAGGTCAGACATCGCCTTTCACCCGGATAATGCTGGAGACCAGTTCCCCATTACACCAACAGAGAGACGGTAGAAGATGGATTAACTAAACGATCTGTATTACTGCTGCTACATATTCATTTTCCCCTGGTAGCCAAGGTTTCTTCTCAGACTGTGGATTTTGATGTTATTTTAAGTGAGGGAGAAGTAGCAAGACCTTTTCAGCCAGCTGGCTGGCAATGCAAAGAAATGGTGATGTATGCTGATGCTCTTCAAATTGTGGATACTTTGGTGCTTTACCTGTGTGCCAATTTAAGGATCTTAAACTGTAGGAATGAAACGGTAACAAATGTTTGTCATATATAGTCGGTATAGGTGCAGTCGCCTCATTTAGTCATTTAATTTGCAGAGCTTAGCAAACAGCTCTGGTTTACCCTACTGCACTTCCCATGTACCCTGAAGCTCCTTTATTATCTCAAAGGGTTACACAATTACACCCCTGGTGCAACATAAGCAAAATATGTGTTATTTGTGACAATGTCTATGTACCATGGCTGCCATTTGAGAATTATTCTCTACCTTCTTTTTTTATCATGCAGCTAAAGACATGAGTAATAGCATGCATGGTGCTGTTCAAAGTTTATCTCCTGTCATGGCTAAAGTAGCTCTGAACACTGAGGCTTGGGCTGGCTGCCACCAGAGCTCAAAGTAGGAGGAAAACCCAGAGACGGGGATTACGCAGAAATGTAGTCTGGCCATTAAAAAGCGTTTTTAATATTTTGATCCAGGCGACAGAACACTGCCTGTAAGCACTGGAGAGAATTTTCCCGTGTCGAAATGGAGACTTGGGTAAGATGATGTAAGAAAAATGGAAAGGAAAAACAAAGACGGTGGTGAAAATGAAAACGGGTAATAGGAGAGTAAAGTGTGGCTGAAGAGAGATGAATGGGAAGTTAGTGTGAGGAAGCCTGGATAGAGCGTGTATGTTTTCCTTGGACCCCTCACTCAAGGCTGTTACCAAAGAAACACTCTTCCGAACTTCATCTTCAGCTCTAGGCTGCCTGTTTTGACTTGAGGACGACATGAAGAGTCGTCTGTTGAGTAGGACATCTTGTCCTATTTGTCCTCTTGTCCTACTCAACAGATCTCTCATCATGACCACAGAGGACAAATGTAGTGTCTATGAATCTTCTTCTTCGTCGTGGCGATGGGCATTCCTCCTTCCCTAATAAATTTGTTTGCATTTTCAGCTTTATTGTTGCACAAATGTAACATCTGTGTTCAGATGAAGCCATGTTTAAACCTGACTCCTGACACCATCTGTCATATCACCTGCCACTGTCAAAGTGGGAGATCGGATCAGTCTTACTGGCCAGGTGGCCAAACAGAGCAGAGTGTCAGCAGGGTCAAGACATGTCAGTCCAGTCTGGACCCAGCCAAGCAGAGATCCGTTCTGTCTCCTGAGCCAGGATGTGTTGGCAGACACTGACTTTACAAATTCTCATACAGTTAATCTTTGCATTGAAAAAAAAAGAAGAAAAATGTAACCGGAGTCAAAATTCCTGCTGTCTGCCAAATGCACAGATGTTTTCAGCAGTCTCTGAGAGGAAGGGGGAGGGATAATTAGGATAGCTGAGGTCCAGCTAAATGAATGCATGTTTTATCATCTTGTTATAACTTTGTGTCTTTCTCTTTATATCTGTTTCCCCAGGAGACCGCAGCAGCCGACTTAACGACACAATGCACCAGGTTGATTTCAAGTCCCACCAGTGGTTTGGCGCCACAGTGCGTTCTCATGGCGACACAATCCTGGTAAAGTGATCCCCCTTTTGTGAAGTGATTGTGGGTCGGGTAAAGTTTCTATTTCACTGCTTATTATTAAAACCAAGATTGCCTTTCCTGTTTTCCCTTGTTTGTTCTTCCTAAACCTACTTAAAGCTGAATCAAAACTGACAGGGCGGATAAAAATCTGCTCACCAATGCACAACCATTTAAAAACAATAGAAAGTATAAAATAGACATAAAGATTAAATTTAAATAAGAGGTTTGATTTTTATTTGATTCTATGATGCTATTTGTAGTGAGAAATATGTTTTGGATTTTGTTATTAGGGCCCATATTGTTCCCTTAATAAAATGATCTTTGTAAATAAGAATGTCTCATTGTTGAATACTGTGTGTTACAGTGAGTTCAAGTCGACCTTTCACACAGTATCTCAGTAAACCAACACTGTTAAAATCTGACATATTACATCAGCATTTAGCTTCCTGTCTTTATTATGTTTCTTTTTGTCCTGCCCTCTACCCTCAATGGGGATTTTCTGATTTCATCTCACTACAATCACAATCCTAAGGCTAGTTTGTTGGGGTTTTATGTGATATAATAAAACATATTGAAGATGCTGCATGTTTTTTGTTTTTTTAATGGTCTGGAAACTGGTGTAAATTGTCATCTCATTGTTACTCTGATACTTTAAAAAAAAATGCAGGGGAAAACGATCAGAAAACTTTTCTTTGAAAAATAGTCTAAAACAAGTCATGATAAATACAATTGAAAAAACTAAAGTCCACTCCATTCATCACTGCCTCTGACTCCTGACGTTCTCCTTGGCTATCTCTATAATCCAGGCTTGCGCCCCTCTCTACCATTGGAGGACCGAAAAGGATGAACCCCGTTCTGATGCCACTGGAACCTGCTACCTCTCAGTTCAGAACTTCACCAAATTTGTGGAGTATGCTCCCTGTCGGACAGGTAAAGGCATACATTGAACGTGACCTAAAAACAGGTGATTGGGAAAACAAACAAATCTTCCCAACATCATTTTTTCCCCCCTCGTATTTCAGAGCTCAGTGATGCAGGGGGTCAGGGTTACTGTCAGGGAGGATTCAGCGCTGACTTTACGACGGTAATAACCGTATCCGTGGTTACCATCTTTTCTCTATCTGCTGTTCTCACTTATGTAACACATGCTCTCTTTTCAGGATGGCAGAGTGGTTCTGGGCGGACCCGGTAGCTATTTCTGGCAAGGTAAACATCAGTTGTGTTGTACAGCTGTTCAACAACAAAACCGGAAAAGTTTCTTTATAGTTTTCCTCTGCTTTTGACCTCTAGGTCAGGTCATCTCCGCGGCCAAGGAGGAGATTATCAAAGCCTACTATCCAGGATATTTCATGCAGGCTGTAGAGGGTCAGGTTCAGACCAAACAGGTCCAACTTGTACACGATGACAGCTACCAAGGTAAAGGAGGTCACTAAACCTTGTGGTAGTTTTTAAGGTGAACATTAAGTCTGACGTCTTTCCTTTATGTCTTCCAGGTTACTCTGTAGCTGTTGGGGAATTCAGTGGGGATCAGGTGGAAGGTAGGTCACACTAACACATATCCTGGGATGATGCATTGGTTTAGCAATTCAAATAAGAAGTAATACAATGCTATTTGATATTTAATTGATCTTTTGTTTGAGTTGGCCTGTCTTTCAAATAAATCTTTGTTTATTCTCCTAGATTTTGTAACCGGTGTTCCAAAGGCAGTCATGCTTTATGGTTTGGTAAGAAAACTAAATCTATTTCATAATTTTTTTCTCTTTTATTAAATAGGTAGGAGTTCAGGGGTGTAATACTTCAACATAAACAGCCTGTGTATGTTTGTAAAAGTTGAAAAATGTCCTCTGCAGCAAATTCCCGATACAGCATACATTTTGACCCCATAGAAATGCTCACAATATTTGCTTTTTTTTGTTACAGGTGTCTATTTTGAACGGGTCAGATCTGAACACCGTAATGAACTTCACTGGTGAGCAGGTAAGTTCAAGGATTGTTTTTTTTTTTTTTGTTAAAGAAAAGAAATAACCCTAAAAGTGGATTTTACTGCTCCTTGCTGAGGTACCTATGCTACTTCAACCCTTTCACATTGTGTCCCATTAATGGCACCAATTTAATGTATTTCATAGGTGTTGTAATGTGACAGACAAACAGAAATTATAACATAGATGAAGTGAAAGAGAAATATATATATTTATTTTTTTTCCAAAATGTTTTCAAACAAAAAGTATTTGATCAATTGGTATTACTCACCCTTTATTCCAACATCCTTAACAAAAAATATAATGTAACTGGTTCTCTTCAGGACAGGGCTGGACGATTATTAATATTCGCAGTATAATTTTAATTAAATCCCCTTAATTAAAATCCTCCAGCCCTACTTTAGAAGTCCCCTAATTTATGAATAAAGAGTTAAAAATTGAATTCAGTATGAACCCAAACAGCTCAAAGATTAGAGAACATTACAGAACAAACACCATCATGAAGAAGCAGACCAGACGGGTCAGAGACGGAGAGTCGAGGTTCATCATGAGGTTATATTTTAAAACCATATACAAAGCTATGAACTTTTCATGGACCAATGATTTTCCATGATCTGATCATGGTTTATGGCACAACTGCAAAACTCTTTTGGCCGTCTAACTAAACTGGAACTCCAGACATCAAGTGGGTTCTACAATTCAAGACTTAATAACTAAAGAAAATCCATGATGACTCTAGAGGAGCTGCAAAGAGGCCACAGCTAAGCCGGGACTGGAAAACGTTTAATTAGGTGTGTTTCCATCAGATTTTTCTAATGCACATTTTGCATTAGAAATGCTTGATGGGAATTCCAAATTCAAAAAAACGTCCTAAAATTCATAGAACAGCTTTTGCTCTCACTTAAGGTGGTTTTTGTCTTCTGCGGTGAAAGGTTAATGAGCAAAAGAGGAGATGGAAACACATTTTTTCAAACAGCTCAAGTAGACATGGCTGGAAGCAACATCGCCGTTACTAGCTGACATTTTAACACAAGAACAACTCGCCTGATGGCAATGCATTCATTAAAAATGTTCCTGCATTACTAATCTGTGGTCAGTGCTAGATTGCAGCCTCTACCAACCCTTTAACTACAGCCACGCGTCAGGACGTGATGTGGGTGACGACGTTGGACGACATTACGCTTAATTAATTTTCTTTAAACCAAATGGAAACACCACAAAATCTATTTTCATTTTTCAAACTTTTAAAAGGGTGCTTAAAATTTGAATTTAAGTTGGATGGAAACATGGCTATAAAGACTTTATTTTTATAGTGATTTAAAATACAACCTAATTGGCCAATATGCTTTAAACAACCTACAAGCTAATAAAATGGAAAGAAATGCAAAATATAACAAATTAAAATAAAACAAGTGCATTAGAGAACATATGACAAATATAACAAAAAAAGTCCTGGTTCAGGTTAGCAAAAAGACTTTTAAAGGAAAGAGTAAGAATGTGTTTTGGTCAGATGCAACCAACCTGGACCTTTTTGTTCAGCCTGAACACAACAAACCCTCTTTAAAACACAGTGGTAGCTTTTTTGTAGCAGGAACAAGGAAGCTTGTCAAAATACGCAGCCCTGTTAATATCTGTATTGCTTTTCTTTAAACCATGTAATGATTGCCTTCCAATTCGGAATCTGTTATCTATGACATTAAATCCCAATAAGCTGCTTCAAATTTTGCAGCAGCTTATTCTAGCAATGAATGTAGAACCAGCTGGATCAAATTTTGTTTTGTGACTAGAATAACACTGAGCCTGTTACAGCTGGCATGATTACTGAATAAGTAAAATCAGATTAAAATTTTATAAACTTTTTTTTGTGAGTGCTCAGAATTATGGTATATGGAAATAAAAATGAACCTGAAAAGCCCATTAATTAAGTTGAACCTGCAAAACACATTAAGCCTTTATATTTTTGTAGATCCTCTTGTTAAAATAAGGGAAAACCCAAGTAAACAAAAAGAATCCGGCTTTAGCTAACTGCTGTTTTTTCTTCATAGATGGGATCATATTTTGGCTATGCTGTGGCAACGACAGACATTAACAGTGATGGGTGAGTAGAACCAGTCTAGACCGGATGCTTCTGAACTTCCTCAGTGATACTTTCAAGCGTCTGTCTCCAAGTTTTAATAACTGCTGACTTTCTACTTTTCATTCTTGCAGGATGGTTGATCTGTTGGTGGGAGCTCCCATGTTCATGGTCCGAGACTCTGATGGTCGACTGGAAGAGATGGGGCGGGTTTACACTTACCTGCAGAGGAGCCCCTTAAACCTGGAGATCCACAAACCTAGCCTGACAGGCAGCGAAGTGTTTGGGAGATTTGGCAGCACTATCGCACCACTGGGAGACTTGAACCAGGACGGTTTTAATGGTAAGAGGGGAACTGACTACATCCAGCTCAAAGAATATACACCCGCTTATAAATTCCCTCTACTTTTCTGCAAGTTAAGATGTCTTCATATTGTTTAACATTTTGACAAATTGTATAATCTGTTCCTCTGCTCTGTGAATTCCCCAACAATGAGCTTTTATTTTCTTATATGACCTCAGTCCGATATTACACCCACTGCCATATTATAGGAAATGGCAGGGTCATGACCGCAACTTTTCCATTCTGACTCATTCATCCCCTTTCATTGTTCACATGAGTTTGAATTATTGGTGAAGTTTGTGTTTTTCAGTTACTGGAACACTGATTCAGTCTAACCAGATGATATATTTGGTGACGTTTTTCCCCTTTTGTGGAAAAGAGCTCATCTTTGTCTGAACGTTTTCCTTTTTTGGTAGATGTGGCCATAAGCTGTCCATTTGGAGGTGATGATCGGCAGGGACTGGTCTACATCTATAATGGATACTCAGAGGGCCTCAGGGAAAAGCCATCTCAGGTGATCGTAGGCCAGTGGGCTACTGGTGCTCTTCCTGCCAGCTTTGGTTTTGCCCTCAGAGGAGCTCAAGACCTGGACATGAATGGATATCCTGGTAAGACTGTTCTATGTCTAGATTTACATAATAGTTACTTTAATTAGTTTTGAATGTATGATTTTAACCCTTGTTCTTTTCTATTTTTCCAGATCTCATTGTTGGAGCCTTTGGTGTTAATAAAGCAGTACTCTATAGGTATGTTTTTATTGAGCATCTATGTAATATTGTTGCGTGTCCTTGTTATATTTATCCTTGCAATCCTAAGTTAAATATATGCTGAATATATTAAAAGCGTTAATAGTTTTTTGTATTTTCTAAAAGAGAAAAGGAAAATCTGAGAAGGTTTAAAGCACCCTTGGAGCATTTTAAGTTAGAAATAAGATGGGAAACATTCTGGTGATATTTGTTTTAGATATTTTCCTGATCTAAAAAGAGTGGAAATTTTAACTTGATCAATCTAAAGCAATCCTTGATATCTAATGACTGACTTCTTTTTTTTTTATTATTCCAATTTCATCTGAAGAGCTCGACCAATTGTCACGGCCAGCGCCTCCTTGGTAGTTTCCCCCACAATGATCAACCCTGAAGAGAAAACCTGCACAATCACTAATGGAAACTCTAGCATTTATGTATCTTGGTGAGTGTCGAACTTGTCCTGAGCTAAACTTTTTGTACCCTGTGACTCTGCTGTCTTCTGTTTGACCTGAATTTTCTGGAAGCCCCCCCACCCCCAGAAAAGATGAGCTTTTCCATTTCCCCTCTTACATAAACACTGTTATCCATTTAGAAGGGTTCTGATAAGCAAAATCCTTTATGACAACTGATCTAGAGCTGCTCTGTGCTTTATTTGACCTATTTTCTCAATGCCTCCGTATCTCATCCTTTCAGTTGGAAAGTGGAGAAATAACATGCTGAATAGAAGCTTTGTTAGCCGTTTTTTGGCCTCCTCCTAATGTGCACAGTTCTGCTCCAGAAACGGGGAGAGGAAACAGATGACGGTTGCTCACTGCTCAGCATGGTTGACGCCGCACTCGTGGGTCTGCCTTTTCACCCCGCCTTTCTCCACATCCTGATTCATAAAGGAAACTCTTGTATACACATATGTCTTGATTATGCTACGTTGCCTGGCGATGAGGAGTTTTCGGTGGGGGTTAAAGGAGAGCAGAGGGGATAATGGGAAGGAGGTCGGGCGGGGAGGGGCTAGGAGGTTTTTGCAGTTGGTTTGAATGAGATATTGTTTGGTGGTGGAACACAGCTGGGAAACATCAGGACACATAGACTCCTGTGAGCTTGCTCTCAGTTGTACAGACACAGGAGCGTATAAGTGAAGTTATTGCTACTCCCCAAAAGAAGGCTTTGTATTTCCTTCGCCTTATTCTCTCATTTTTCATCTCCATTTGAACATGACTCCCATTTTTTCCACTGCTTTGCAAAAGCATCCACATCCTTTAAATGCTTCCATATTTTTTCTTCCATTAGACGAAAAAAAACATAATGAATTTTATTGGGATTTTATGTGATGACGTAAGAAGAATGATTCAGCGAAGAGAAAAAAAAATTAAATATATTAGTGTTTTGCATTTTGATGCTCCTAAATAAATTGTCTTCAAAAGTCACCAGTTTAGTAAATAAAGTCCACCTTTGTTTAAGGTAGTTATATGAGAGAAGCTGAAACATGACTGGTTAATCTAGTTGAAAATGGAAAGAAAATGGCTGCAAATCAACAGTGCTCTTCTAAACAGACAAATCTAGCAAGGAGAGCAGGAATAGGAATGTGATCCATGCTTACTCTGGAGGAGCTGTAGAGATCTGTAGCTCAGGAGAATCATTTAACAGGATCAGGGTTAATCATGTGTTTAAATCCAGCCTTTATGGAAGAGTTATGAGAAGAAAGATGTTGAAAAAGTAATGATTTTTACTTGAAAGTTTGCAAATTGTGGGATATAGAAAACACATGGATCTTGTGTACATCAATCTGCACACGTCATCCACAAGGCAAAAGTTTTCATCAATAAGTTTCTGATAAGAGTTGATGGGGAAAATGTATACCACAAAATACAGTGCAACCATAGAAGCTGAGCTTGACATGTTTTGCTAAAAACTCAGTCTCTAGATATTTAAGGCTGGTAACAATATGCAGGAAAAGGTGGAAAAGTTATATTGATGAAAGCTGAATGCACATCGATGCCAATCTACCTCACAGCTGCGGATCTCTTTTTCTTGGTTGATCATATAACATCCCAGTAAAACAAGTTTTTCTGATGGGAATAAATGTGGAAAAGTTAAATGAGGATATTCAGGAAGGAGTGTTTTCCCAGGTTCCCTGCTGGACTTTGGTCTTTGTTTGGCTTGTATAGGGTTATCAGTTAAAGGAGGTGGAGGGGGGTCAGCTGCAGATTTGGACAGCAGCAGAAGCATGTTGTGAAGCTGATGTCATGGGAGAGGCCTACAGGCTTAGACAGACGGCCACTGACTGGTCAGCACTGAAACCTGAGTCTTTGCTCAATTTCACCCCTCTTAACTCTGCTGCTGCTCTCTGTGTGTCGGATGGTGGTTTTGGTGGAAACGGAGACCCTGTGCTTTATCAGCCCAGCTGGCGAGAGTGGTCACATGCCAGCTCCGTCTCATAACACTGAAATATTTCTCACGTTATTCGTTGCATTCCCAGTATTCCCTGACACCGTGTGATTTGAACCCTGAGAGAAGTTGACAAAAGATAAATGGGAAAAAGTGAGGAAATTAGAGAGCAACTTAAAAGCAAGCTGTTTGTCTTGTGTGTGCTGTATGTTTAACCCGAATCTTTTTCATGAGTAAATTTGCCTTTGTTATGAAACCTTTGATTTATTTGTGTCTAAAACAGCGTCAATCTGAGTTACTGCATAACCGCTGATGGGAAACACCTACCGGCCGATCTAGGTGAGCCAATTTTCCACATCTGTACTTTATTACAAGAACGTAAGCTGTCAACTGGCTACTAATGTTAGCTTTTGAGATCCATAACAGTGACACACAGTTTTGACAGAAACTATAGATCTCTGGATTGTTTTTCTGGCAGTGTTTAATTGCCAACTGTTTTCTGCATTCAATCACTTTTCTTATCATTCGTTATTATCTCTAATTACCCTGTCCTCCAAGCGCAGATGCTCTCCCTGCCTCTTTGTTTAAGTTACATCGGTTACATTGCATGCGCCTCAAAGAATTTACAGAGGGCTTTTTTTTTCAGACTTGTCATTAGATGAGTTGAGAGCATTCATCATCCAATGAATGCCTGTTTGTGTGCTCTGTGTTTCAGACTTCCAGGTGGAGGTGCAGCTTGACAGCCACAAGCACAAGCAAAAAGGTGCTGTGAAGAGGGCTCTGTTCCTGGATTCCCAGCAGCCTTTGCTTCAGAAAAGTCTGAGAGTTCGCCGTGGGAAGCGTCTGTGCGACCAAAAGAAGATCTATCTAAGAGTATGTCATCTTTTACCTAATGAATAAAATACATTTGTGACTTAATTGTACCAAAAACAACCCTCTAGAAGATTTTCTTTGTTTTCCTTTTTTCTTCATTTCAAGTGGGTGTTTATGTAAACTCTGCCATGTGTTTTTTTTTACTTGTAGGATGAGAAAGAATTTAGGGATAAACTTTCCTCCATTTATGTGGCCTTGAACTTCAGCTTGGACCCAAAAGCTGCCGCCGACTCCCGTGGGCTGCGGCCCATCCTCAACTACCAGACCACCAACGTTATTGAGCAGAAGGTACTTTGACATAATGTCAAGTTGCTTTATCTTCTGGCAGCACGGTTAAAGAGACACTCTGTGCTGGTTAAGGCATTTAATATCAGTGAGTCAGAACACAATCTCAGAGCCATTTATATTTTAAAGCAAGCCAATCAAACACCGTTTAGTTTTTTAGAGCAGGCCACAATGTAAAAAAACACGAGGGATCAATTGCTGTTAAACCAGCGCTTTACGGTACATGGACCCACATAAACCATGTGACTGGTTAAAAGAAATAAAAATACAGCAGGAAGATGGGCGACAGTCAACTTATATGTATGATTTTTAAGAATCCAACCTTATTAATTTTAAACTTAAGCTTTTGTTTTGCAGAGCTTCAACAACCAGTTTGACGCATTAGACTATAACAAGATTAGATTTTAACAGTATTTTAGTGAAATAATCTATTCATTATCTTTATAATGGGCAGGTTTGATCATTTTGAGTCATTTAGATTTTGAATCAGAGATGACCAATTTTAAGGTTCCCCCCAAAAAAAGTTCCCTAATGAGGTCCCTCATTAAGCATTGACAGGAAGCTCTGAGGCAGATGACTACTTCAGTGTCATTAGCTGCTAAGGGTCAGCCAGTCAAGAATATTGGGTACAGCAGGGAAAAGCTTACCTTGCCAGAAAGATCACTTGTGGGACTTGTGAATTGCATGCATGGAGCAAAGGCTGTGTTGGCAATGTAGACTTCTTATTTCCACTCAGAACGCATCAAGCAAAGATTAGCGTTAGGGACTTTGTTTGACAAACTAACCCTAACCCTTTCACAAAATGTTTTGTTATGAAATCCAGTTTTGCCATACACCTCATTTTCTGTCTTAATTAGGAAGATAAAACAACAACGAAAAAAGCTTCCAACTGGAGTTTTACATTTTACGGTTTATGGCCTTACACCATTTTAGTTGGTTGGTGGTTGTGGTTCAGCAAACTAAATAAGTGTTCAATTCACCACTAGTTTAATGCTAGTTCATCATCTCAATCAGTTCAATGGAATACAAAAAGGAAAGAAAAAAAAAACTGAATAAAATGGAAAAATGTTTCCACTTTGAAGAAGACCACATCATGTAAATTTGCCCCCTGGTCAAAGTCTTTGTGATTTTGAAATGTTTGAAGTGCCGTCAGAGCATGCATTTTCTACAGCCATGTTGAAATATGCACAAAACAAATCCAGGATTAACAATTTGAATGGAAGGAAATAGTAATGTAGCTGCCATCATCACAGTAAAAATGTTTTTGTTTAAGCCCCTTTTCTGGATAAAATGGTGTCTGACTTTTTCCCTGTTGGTCTCTTTCACAGATGTCTCTTCTAGATATCAAAGCAATTTGTCCTGTAACAGATGTGGTCTGTTTTTGAACTAAAACCTTGAGACAAACCGGAGCTGTAACTCTAATCTTGAACCTGTGAAAAAAAAAAAAAAAAAAAAAAAAAACAACAAAAACCCCAACCCGTTTTATACAAACAGTAAACCTGATCCGTGTCTGTATGTGTGCATAGAAGCAAATAGTTTCAGACTGCCAGCAGGCTTCATTTATCTTGCCTTCTTTTGTGTCCATGCGTAAACACTGAGGAGTGACCATTACACCGCAGCCTTGGATTAGATCAGACACACGATGCTCTATTGATTTCTGCTTATGTTCTGAGAATGTGTGGCCGGCTTTTAGACGCTGCGCTCCTCTGTGCCAAGTACTTTTCAAACTGGAGGGAGAATTAGAGATCTTCTTGGAGCACTTTCTCTCTCACCCTAACATTCTCCACATGTCGGTCTGAAAGAGTTATAGCTTTAGGAGACATCTACTAATTTATATTTGTTGCTTTTTTTATATTTATTTTTTTTTGGGTGGGAGGAGATCTGGAAGTGATTAAAATTGTGCATCAGTGCATTCTCTGTGATAATGCTGATGCTGAGTTGTTTTGATGGTGCTGTAAAATTGGCTTACTTTAACAACCGAGACTAGTCAAGGAGCTCACATATGGCTCCTTAGCAAAGCGGTTAAAGTAGTGTTCACAATTAGAGCCCCCAGGATTGGGTGATAAAAAGATGGGAACTTTTCCATCTGTAATCCATCCTACATTTCTATTTATTGTCCTCATGGTCATGAGGATCTTTACACTGTCAGTCAATGGTGGGTTGCAATTTGGCACTCCGCAGGGCTCACCCCTGCCACCGCCTTGCCACACGTTCAGCGGTCGCCCAATCATTTGGCTGTGTTTCTCCTCCTTTCTTGTCTTTCCCTCAGCTGTAATTTCTGAAGCCTCACTCCTGTTTTCATGTCAACAAAGATATCTTGTGTCCTAGAGCGTCCTCTAAGTTGAAGGATCCCTGCTGCCCCCCTTCTATATTATCATATGCGGCGGTTAGCTGGGTGGTGTAAGCGTGGTTTACCACATGAAGCTGTGATGTGGGACACGGGTGAGAGCTGGCAGCTGTGCGCTTAGGATCGTCTCTGGCCTGCGCTTCACCCTGATACCTGCTCCTTGTTTCCACGACAGTCCTATGATCTAGGACTGCTTATGTAAAGGACTGCCTGAGCTGCCATCCAGGTGTTCTTTGGTTTCTGAACGACAGACGGTGGAATGTGTTAGTCATGCCGCATGTTGCGTCCTGCTGCACAGGTTCTATTTACTGAAGTGGGATTTATTTTGAGTTCTCTGTACATGTTGAATGAGTCAGAGCTCGTCTCAGTCAGCAGCTACATTAAATTAAAGCTTTATCACCTATTTCTGTATCTTTCAGGCTCAGATATTGTTGGACTGCGGAGAGGACAACATCTGTGTTCCTGACTTGAAGCTGGCCGCCCATAGGTCAGTTCATCCATGTGTTTTTCTTAAAATCTAACCCTAAACATGTAATTTTCCCATAAATCAATCTTCACAGAAAAACCTAGCAGAAGTAATCATACCCATTGTATTTTCTAACTTGTCACATTATATCCACAAATTCAATTTACTCTGTGATTCTGTCAGATAAAACAACCCAATGTAGTGCATAATTGTGAAGTTAAAAATAGTATACACATTAAAGAGGTATGTCTCCACCATCTTTAGAGCTAGAGACTGAGGCGGTTTTTTTGTTTTGTTTGCTTTTCGCCAATTCTTCTTTATAAAAGAAACAATACTGTGGAGAGAGACTGTCCAAATGTCAGTTTTCCCAAAGCTCCTTAATCAGATTTGGATCTGGACTTTAACTCGGCCGTTCTAACACATAAATATGCTGGAATCTAAACCAGCTTTGCTGGATTTTCCTGCTGGAACTTAGAAAGTCCTTTTCACTCTCAAGTCAAGTCAGATCCAGAAATTTGCTCATTAACTCTGATCAGCCTTTTTTCCTAAATAAATGCGATGGTGTTTGAAACGTTGGTCTCATCCAACCAGAACATTGTCTTCCTTAAGATTACTGTGTGTTATGGCCTTTGGCAAACAGCAAAGAAGGCCGCTTATGGCTTTCTTCTCATCGCCTTTTTATAAAAGCCAGATTTGTGAACTTAAAGTTGTCTTGTCCACAGATTCTCCCTTCAAGGGCCTCTTTTTTTTTTTTGACTGTCTCCATTCTTGACTTGTAGATTTAAGAGGGGTCCATTTTCTGATAGACTTATCTATCGTAATGTTATTCTCTTTGGCTTTTCAGACGATGGATTAAACAACCCTCCAAGATGTTTAAAGCTTAAAATATCATTTTATAACCAAATGTTTAAATCCTCCACTTTATCTGACCTACCTGCTGTGTTCTTTGGCTTAACGTGATGGCAGGGTTTTGTTTGGCGGCTTTCAGCCTGAATGCATGCCACGTCCTCTAGATTATTTGTTCAAGATTTTTAAACATCTTGCCTTTCTTTCCCTTCAGTTATGCACTATTTCAGGATGATTTTTCTGAAGTATCTAGTTATAACTTGATAAAATGTGAAAAAGTTCATGGGCTGTGCTTTGTAGACTCTAAACAAGGTCTCCTGCCCTAAATTCTTCACCTGTCCAAAATGCAGCTGCAATGACATTAACTGTAGATGCAGCTGTTTTTTGTTTCTTTAATATGCCAGAAAATGAGTTTTTAATGGTCATGACATTATACAGTTGTGTCACGCCATACCATAAAAACAACAAGTTCCACTTTTCACCCTTCAGCAAACAGAAGTTGACAGGAGAGATAAAGGAGTGTGTTTGGATAGCTGTTTACCAGAAAGCAACCAAGAAATCTGTTTGCATTTTTCTCAGAAATAACTGCCTCCTCGATGCTCCCTTCTCTGCTCTGTCATTTTGATCTCACATTCCTATATTTATCTCCCATCTGCACGTATGGCTGGATATGTAATAATCTATAGGCGAGGGTGATTAGTACAATTCAAACAACCTCTTGTTGTTTCTGTTTGGAGTAAATCACGCAAACTTAATGGAAGTCAAGAGTAACTGACAGGATGACAAAGATTTAGTGAAGTTTGTGGTATAAAGTATTTGCTCTTTCCTTGGATGTTGTTTTTACATGTTCTGCAGACAGATCAAATAACCTTTTGGACGAGGATCTGTTACAGAAGCTTTAGGGGTTTTGGTGTTTTTAGCTGTCAGCTTTTATTTGGTTTTTATAGTGAGATACCAGCTGATTGGACTCAGACTATGGTTGAAGCTTCGGCTAGCAGAGGATCAGATGTTTTTATTTATGAGAGGAGGCTGTAATAAGAAAAGCTTTTGCTCCCCCTCCAATTTTCACAGTTTGAAACCATGACTGATGGGAGAAGGGAGGGAGTGAAAGTGAGGAATAGCAGTTGCTTTTTTGGGTTTCATGCATAATTTTATCACTACAACATAAAAAATAATTGAATGTAGTTAGATGAATTTATTTGATAATAATTTTTCATGCTGCTTGCAAAGCCTTTAAACTCATCTAAAACCAAACATACTTTGTATAGATGTTCCTTTACATTCTTATGAGCCTTACCATACCCCTGCTTATTCCCGTGACCAGTTCAATGACTGATCCCAGCAGTCATTTTGTTTTTCCTCTCTTTGGGCCCTCAGTGACAGGAAGGAAGTCTACCTCGGCGATGACAACTCGCTGACCTTATTTTTCAACGCCAGGAATGAGGGTGAGGGAGGGGCGTATGAGGCAGAGCTGTATGTGGCATTGCCCCCTGAGGCAGATTATAGCGGTATTGCCCGTAACAATGAGGTGAGAGGGAAACACTTAAAAAAATTATTGCTAGAGTTAACCTTCAAAACTTTCTGAGAGTAATGGCTTGTCTTTGTTTCTTCAGAGCCTCACTCAACTTACCTGCAGCTATGAGACCGAGAACCAGACCCGGTACCTCAGCTGTGATCTGGGCAACCCAATGAAGGCTGGCACCGATGTAAGACCATTCTTCTCTTTTCAGAACTTTATCATTTTAATCCTATATACAGGCATGGTAAAGAGCAAGTACATCCTGTTTCACACATTATAAGTGAATGAAGTGTGCAAAAATACAATAAATTGTCCACCTTGGCTTAAGTCAAGTCTGCTGACCTGAAAAACAACTATATAAGTAAAGGTAATTTACCATTATTTGTAACAGAATGAAGCCAAATTGAAGAAAAAAAGCCAGAGAACTACCAATAATTCAAAAACCCATAGTTAACTTCCACTGTTTATGTAAGGCTGCCTTGTTGTTGTTTTTTTAGCCATTATGTACATTGTGTTGGTGATTTGTTTAGAATCATTGTCATGTTGAGTGACTAAATTTAGGTCAAGCGTCAGCTGTCTTTTAACTGGGCTAACATTTGACCACAGAATACAGAACTGTGGTTTACCGAGGAGTTTAAGGGGTGACTTACTTGTTGCAAAGGGCCCATGTCCTGTAGCTGACAAACATGCCCAAATCATCCACCATTCACTAACTTGCTTGTTTGAATTATATTATTTTACCTTTTGATTTTCATTTGCCAAATATTGTGATATGTATAAGAAGTTTACATCTTAACTTTTGTCTAATCGGTTACAAAGAAGTTGTTCCAAGAAAACTTTCTGGTAAATCTGAAAGACTTAGCCTAGTAAACTAGCCCCACCTGCCAGCGGCCAAAATCATTTTTGCCTCGAGTGGTCTATCCTCAATCAATGCCCCAGGCCCTAGAACTGGCGGCCAAGCACAACGCAAAGATTTGTTCTGAATTTGGTACGGTCAGTTTTAGACCATTTATTGAATACCCATGGAGTAAAGACTCAGTTATGCTTGATGCACATAGGTGTACATGTCCTCGTTTTTTTTTTTTTAGACTGTGCAATTTTTCCCCATTACCCAAATATTCTGGCCTACTACCGGCAAGCTTACAACACCACACAACATGCAAAGTAGAAAACAAACCAACATTTTCAAAGCCTCTTCTTGTTATCCAAGAGTGACGGTTATTTATTAAGAGTTTTTTGCAATCTGTTGATTGTGGTAATAATTATGAGCCAAATCATAAGATGTCTCTAGATGTTTATTTTTTTCAAAACCTTGCAAGTAGAAGGTGTCGCTCCTCCAACATGTTTTTACGGCAGAGCTGTTTGAGGGGATACAAAGTTTCCTAGTGGCACTGTGCAGAAAAATCAGGCCGGATGAAGGGGCATGGCTGCTAAAACGATGTAATCTGACTGTACTGACGTGTCGAGCAGAAACCAGGATTTAGCCATTCTGGCTAACCAGGCTACTATATTAAGATTAAGCACTTGTTTGTTTTTATGTAATATCTCTCACTACTGCATATTCAGACCATGGATTGAATTTGCTTAAACATCCAAAACAGGAATCATCATAAGCTGTATTAATTGGTCTTCAGCTAGTGATTAATTAATCTCACATACTTTATCATTATGGAGCTCAAACAGTCAAATATTGTTTCTTTAAGATTATTTTTGCCGGCTTTGCTTCCTGTGCGTTAACAAATGTATGCATACCAAAGCTGGGCAAACTCCTGCTTTGTTCTGACTGGTTGTTCATCTGCGTTTAGTTAACAGCATCTGGCTGCTACTTTCCCTCTTAAATCCAGTGGGAGGAGGATAGATGTGCTGAGCTTCTTACATTATATATCTTTTAATGTGGTTTATAAGTGGAATCTGTGGTGTGATCTTTATGACTGCAGCAAAGAGTTTGAATGTTGCACTATACTTTATGGCATGTATCATCATAATATTAATTCATAAATTGCTGATGCTAGTAGAATACATTGTTTTGATGGGGCGTTGAATATCGCAGGAAATATTGGCTAATGTCAGGAAATGTGTGACTTCCTGTCACACATTGCTATTGCAAGCAAAGATCCCCGCAGGGAAAATGGTCTCTGTAGTGACCAAGTTACAGTTTGGTACATAATTACAGGACATTAGAGGAAGACTGATAGTGACAATATGATTGTTACTTTCAAAACAAGATAATTTTTTTCTTAGAATCTTCAGGGCTATTGTTAAACACAAAGATTTTGATTTTTTTCTAGGTGTTTGCAATAGATCTAGATTTGCTTGTTAGTAGGTTAACATGGTCTGAGAGCCCTTTGTTCTGAAAGCAAAGGTTTTCTTAGATTCAACACTTCTTCTGAGGGGTATGGCATATTTTTAAAAGCACTTACCAAGAACTGCCATAAGTAAAGTACTTGATATGTTTTGAATCTGTTTGTGGATTATGATCTTGATGTTTTGAATTCTACCTTTGCAGCTCTGGGCAGGTTTGCGTTTCACAGTTCCACGTTTAAGAGATGCACAGAAAACTGTCCAGTTTTACCTCCAGATACGCAGGTACATGTTGAACATCTTGTATTTCTACTATTTTCTGATTCAGATTTATAAATTTTGGATCTACCATTAGGTTATTTTAATGTTTCCTCTTTGTTTTCACAGTAAAAATGAGAATAACTCTCAAAGTGAAGTTGTCTACTACAACCCAGAGGTGGTGGTCCAGGCTGATGTTATTCTGCAGGGGTAAGTTCAGCATTAAAGCTTCTCTCGTTTGAACTTCTGAGACTTTATTTAGTGTTCAGACCCTCCCTGCCCTCACTTCTGCCTCCTTTTCTTTTCAAGTGTGTCTCGACCAGATAAGGTCTTCTTTCCACCGGCCAACTGGAAAGCGCCCAAAAACTATGTGGTGGAGCAGGACGTCGGGCCTGTCGTGGAACACGTTTATGAGGTAATCAGCGGCTCTCTTATCTTTACATACTCATTGGAAATAACATGGATTGGGCTTGTTTGTAAAAAAAGAGCAAGAAAGAAAAATGGATACCAGATTGCCCAAATATTTTCTCTAGCATCAATTTAAACATAAGAGAATCAGATAGGAATTCCTTAGCAATCAGTTTTGACTTTGCCTGGATATAAGAAAATATTTAATAGTACAACCCGATTATTCCTCTGGCTGTTAAAGAGGTATTGAACTCTTATTATGCATTCAGACCAAATGCTTTTTGCACTTCAAAAACACGTTCAGCTCCTCAGCTTGGATGCTTCTGCAGCAAGTGCTCTGCTGCCCTCTGGGAAGACGCTTTGAAGCATCCGATGCAGGTGCAGCAGATTCCAAAACAGCTTCCTCCCCACTGCCATTAGAAAGCTGAAAGTTGTGAATAAACCAGACGAGGGAAGAAAAAAATAACCTCTGAATGTTGGAAAAACCTTAAATCATATCTCAGTTATGTTTACATTTAATCACTATGTTTACATGTTATCACTGCTGCACTTTAAGAAATGGAAATGTCTTGAGAGTGCTAGGAAATCACTCTGAAGCCCTCCAGGCTGTTAGGGATTTCAAACCGCCGTTCTTAGTTGCTGTAAGTTAATATTAATAATCTTTTTTACTATCTGAATTAAAAATTTTATATTTGTCTTTCGCATGTATCATTATTTTTAATGTGGGTATTTGTAAACTCTATCTTTACAGTTCAGGGAGAAAACGTTTTAGTGGAGTATTGATGTGTAGAGAATTCTCTTTTCCTTGTACAAGAAAAATCCATTCTCATGGATTTTTAAATCCATAGGGGCTTAACCTCTTCATATATACTCATTTTCAAGTTTTATGCTGCTCTACAGAGGTCTTGTATGTAGTCTCTGTCGCCCAGACAGCTCCTGGATCGTTTTTTCTGATTGGCTGACAGCAGCTTCCAGCTGCTAAACTTCAGATTTCCCAACTCTTGCATCTGCTGCTTTGGATACTTGAACGCTTAAAATCTACTGCTGTCAACACCAGAAAAGCTTCTACTCCTAACATTGTGCTGCTGCACCTCTCAACCCTCCTTAGTGTCATCTCTTAGAGACATTGGGTGTAAACCAGATGCCCTGATGCTCAAAATGTGTTTAATGTGAACACACAATTGAACATGACCTTCAAAAGCATTTAAAAGGCACTGTCTTTTTTTTTTTTTTGTGGAGCAATTTATTGTTGAAATATAGATTATACCAGATAGAATTTGTAGAACTAAAAACAAAGAGCAGTAATAGACTACTTTCAGTTTATAGCAAATGTTTGACATAACATTGTTACCAAATAATGTAAATAATGGTAATGGCAGTAGGGTACTTGTAATTTAATCCAGGACCTTTCTACAAATTGATCAATTAGGGACTTTTCATGAGCGCACTCTCTCTGTTGAATTTTTTTACTGCAAGAAAAAGCATGAAGCTGAGATATAGCCATAGGTGACTCTGATTGGCTGATGGGCTCTAGCGTGGGCGGGTGTTCAGCATGGGTTAAACAAAGACTTAGAGGAGAGACGATGATTAAATGACAGCGTTCCTAAAGAGAAGTAAAGGCTAAAGGTTCCTGTGAATTGATGTTTATGTGAGAGAAAAAAATACTTTTTTCAGCTCTAATCTGAAGAAACTCCTTACATTGTCCCTCCATCAGTAACACTGACTGACAGCTGGATTATTTTTTCAACACGTGTTCTTTACTTTCTAAGTGATACTGAATTCACTTTCAAGGTTTACTGTGTTTTATTTCAGATGGAAATACTGGGATTATACAGTTCTCTTATTTTTTTTTGGAATCAGGCAACTGTTAATTCTGTTTTGACGTATATTTTTTTTTTTGAATTGCTTGAAAAGCATTTTTTTTTGTGTTATACCTATTTTATAGCCAGTTAGAGCCTTGGATCAAGCAAAAATGTACATTGTAAAACATCAACTTTTCTTTATATTAATCTGTTGCAGATTAGTGTACAATATTTGCTGTGTTTGTAATTTTAATTGTTTTTATCAAAACAAGTCTCTCTTGTAAATGAGATCTTTGATCTCAATGAGAAACCCTGGATTGGTAAAGGTTAAACAAGTTAAGGTGGAAAATATGTTTTCATATATTTAGTCCTTTTAATCTAGTAACTATTTAATTAATTAACATCTTTTATTTCATAGTTGAACTTCTGCTTGTATTTAGAGTTCTAACAGGAAATTATCCAAATTCATTGACAGATCATAAAAAGTAACTGCTTAGTTACTTTTTCTTGTAACTAGCTTCTTTGTTTGTGGACTAACCAAGTTACCAACTCGGTTACTTTTTTTAGAGACATAACTGGTAGCTATAAATAGTTACACTTTTGAAGAAATGGTCCAAACTCTTTGTATAGGAATAATTATTTTCTTCTTACCTGAACAAACCGCAGAGCTCTTCGCAGTCTACATAAATAAGATGCATGCATTTTTTTTCTTTAAATTTACTTAAAATTAATTAATCATTTTCTTTTCCAGCTTGTCAACAACGGCCCCAGTCGGATCAGCGGCACATTACTGGAGCTGCGCTGCCCTCTACGTGTCCAGGGTCGCTCTCTCCTCTACCCTCTTGAGTTTTTCACAGAAGGTCCCATTAACTGCACCGCTGACGAAAACATGAACCACCGTGGACTCAAAGTGAGCGTCTTGCATGCGCATGCACACCTCTTTGGGTCAAATGGGGCTAAATTAGAGATCTTTCTGCACCCAGATACCCGATGTTTTGCCCACATCCACCTCCTCCTCCCATCTTCCCAGCCCCACCCATGACACTTATCCCAGAGCTGCTTTGAAGTCACAGCTCTTCCCTTCGCTCACAGCTTGAAGAACCACCTCACCCAAGCACCACAGTCACTCATCTTCAACATGCACCAACACTCCCTTCCCAAGTAGTAGCCTTTAAGATACTGTGGGCAAAACATTTCCATGCAGTTGTTTTTGTTTACATTTAAACCTTGACAGATGTTAAGCAGACCTATAAGAGGGTCATCAGTCTTAGCTGTGACCTGATGTTTTTTTCCCTCATGAATCACTTAGTTTGGAGAATTTTCACTGGGATACTTGAGAGGGGAGTGCTCTCATGCCTCTGATTAATGATGAAAAACCTCAGGGTCATGTTAACATTAGGGCCATACATCGACAGAACGTCTGTGCTACAGTCTGTAAATGTTCTCTGTGAATCGGTGGCTGAATGTTTGCCTCTTTCTTCAGCTCCAGGAAACATCCACAGAGTCTCCCGCTCTGGCACTGAAGGCTAATGGGCATCATGTTGAGAAGAGGGAGACACAGAAAGACCAGCTCGCTCTGTTGACTAACCTGGTAAGATACTCTAAGAAGAGCTTTGTTTTTTTTTAGAAAAGGTGAGTCTGAGGTGTTTCTGGGCTCTGATGAAATCTGGAAATATTAGGAAACAACAGAGTCTATATTACAAATCCTTTTCCAATCGGTACACAGACCAGCTTCAAAAACTGTTGTCTGGTGGGAAAAAAAAAAAAGTCTTAGGACTTTCAGAAAAAAACCCAATGCTGGAAGATCCTGTGAGGTCCATCTCCACAGTACTGGGTGTAAAAGCCCCTCCTCCAAAACACCTTCTAGCTGAAAGTTGCAGCTGCCTGAATGGACAAAGCAAATGTCTGTTTTAGGAGATGGAACTATTTGGCCTCAATGACCGGAAGTATGTTTGCAGTACTCAATCTGAGGCTCCTACCACCCAAGAACAGTAGGCACATTTCCACTAATTATCAAATTGTGCCAATTTTTATTCCAAAAATAAATCTGCTAAATGAAAACACTGCAATTTTTGGAAACATTTTTTTTTGGTTCGTTAATGTGATTTTTTTTTTTTTTTTTTTTTGGTTCTATGGCAATTTTTTAAATATATGTTTTTATCTATTCGTAATGCGAGTGCTTATGTAACTTATTTAGAATGAGTTCCATGACTGATTGTAAATGCTTGGAAGCTGAAATCCCAATCCTCCCCATCTGTTCAGTGATGGCTTCTCTCTTTTCATTTGACACCTCTTTCAAACCATCTGTCCTCTCTGATGAGAATACATCAGCTCTTAAACTAAAGTGTGCTCTGTTGCAAGCCAACAAAATTGACAAAGATTCCTGGATAGAGGTTGAAACTTCTTCAAAAATACAAAGCGAAAGGCCTCCCAGCCTGTTTGTGATAACATCTGATTATTTATTTTAATAGCAAAACATGCAATTATCTTATTAACATACTCAGCTGAAGGGCAATTACATTTATTTTAAGAAATGTCTACTTATTTTTAGACCAGTTTTTGCAGGGTCTAACGCAATGTGGGTGGGATACCAGTAAGTGGTTTAACTAAAATCAACAGCTAGATCATTGAAGCTTGAACTCATCAGTGTTTTCTAGTAGGAAGAAAAATCCAAACACATTTGGGGTCTGTTTCTTTATTACATAAAGTCAGCCTAAATTAACCTTGTCACTTTCCCCTGACTACAGCATTTTTGCACATTTATGTTTAAAAGCATATTCTGTGAGGGAAATAGTTTATTTTAAAGCAACTCCACCACTATCAAATAGAGGCTTAATTTTGCTTTTGGAGTTATAACAGAAACCTGTTGATGGCTGTCTGGACTTCAAATCTTATCCTGATACTTGGTTGGATTATCGTCATAATGATTAAAGTGAGGATGGAAAAATAGAACAATTCTTCACAGTCATTCTCAGCTTAACCGTTGAGTGTGACTGCATGCAGAAGCAATAATAAATGCACAAATACTGCTGTGGAAACTACAGAAATTTAAAACAGGCTGCTTCACGACGTCAGTTACATCATTTACATGAAGAAGTGTGATTACATCACAAAACATCCCACAGAAAATGTTATCCCATCAATGACACTATGCAATCAGCTCTAGTCTTATTTAAGCCTGAGTGTATAATTGGACCCTGTTCTAAAGGGATTTGAAAGTAATTGAAATTTGTCTTATAATCCCCATAACAGAACAGTTCAAATGCATCACAAGAAGGCCTAAACTGATGTGACATTCATGCCGATAAGTAATAAAAACGTCCGACCGGCTTTCTACGCATGTCTCAGGGGACTGTGTAATTAAATTCTGATGCCATTAAAAAGAAAAGGTCAGAGGGCACATACTGGTCCCGTTGCGGTAATTAACATTAAAGAGCCTTTATTCATAGCTGGGCAGTCAAATGCTGGCAAGACAGAAGACGTTTGTTGGGTCTTTGGCCTCTGACGCAATAATTCCCTCACAGTCCACCTTTGGGAGATGGTTTATCAACCATATGAAGGCCTATATCTGTGAAGATTCTCAGTCATCCAGGTCATGGTCAAGCTTGAGAAAGTTCAGTCTACGAAACTGGACGTGACGTTTTCTAGAAGATGTTTCGCTTCTCATCCAATAGGCTTCTTCAGTTCTAACTATGGGATATGAATGTTATAAAGAACTAATTAATGTATTAAAGGGGTCATAGAATGCAAAATGGAGTTTCCATTGTCATAGATAAATAACGATAGTTGAGTGGGTGAAATAGACGTAAAGAGAAGTTCGAACCCCATCGGCAGCCTCCTTTCTCTGCAAATCTCACGACTCCAAACTTCCACCATAAAACGGTTGAATCCAAACGAGGTGTGGAGTTGACATAAACTCGGGGATGGTGCCTTATTTGGTTCTGGAAATTGACATACAGACAAGCCCACTGGTTCACTGGCCCACGTGAGAGGGGGAGGGGATGATGTTTTGACTGCTGGGCAGCTGACTGGACCTGACCTCAGCAGAGAGCCATGAGCCGCCTGTCCTCAGCCGGAGGAGGGAGGCTGGGGGCCGATAAGGCAGGCAGAGGGCTCCCATCCGCCAGGGGTCCCAGACCAGCTCCGGAGCTGACGGCTCAGTTCCAATGCCCGGTGTGTGTCGACTACGTGCTGCACTGTAGTCGACTAAAATCCCCGACGATTTTTAAATTCCCCTCTGACATTTTTTAGGTATGACAAAAAAGTAGGATATGTCCGAAAAAGGGAGGACGTCTGGTCACCCTACCATATCAACAATTTCAATGTTTCAGTGGATGCTTGTTGCTATGATGCATCTTTGCTCAGCAGCTTCGCTCGTTGTAAACCAACCAATCAGTGCACAAATCATCTAAATATTCATGAGCATACCATAAAAGGAAGAAAACCTGATGTTTCATTCTAGGGCTTTTAACCAGGCTTGCATTAGGGCTCATAGAACAGCAAATATCCCATTTTCAGCCCAACCAATGTTACACACCCTATTCAGAGACCTTAAGGACCAGCACCAAATACCCTATATAATCATTCTATCACCCCTTTAAAGTAACACACACCAGTCTCAGAAGCTTTAGTGTTTTTTTTATAAGGAATATTTTAATAAAATTTTCACAACAGAATGACATTTAACGTACCAGAGAAATTTTTTAGAGCTATTTTTTTAATTAGCTTGGAAATAATGGGTTTTGTTATTATTTTTTTTTACATGAAAGAATACCCTTTAGCAGAAAATCCATACTTCATCTTTACAAATCCTTCTATGTTTTTCCTTATTTTAAAATTTAATGATACAAATAAACTGTTGGAGGTTTAAGATGGCAACAGATTTCCTGTAGCAGATGTTTAAATTAAATAAAAAAATATTGTTTTATTAAAATGCCATGTAATATTTTGTGGTTCTAAATGACTTAAGCCAGACTCAAAATGGCTCTTTGGATAATATTGCAGTTAGAGGTAATGAAGGAAACGATTTGCTTTGTCTTTCCTTTAATTTGCACTTCAATATGAAGAAGTTGGATGACAACTGTCCACCCAGTCCACAGATATGACGTTACCACTGGCATGCTTGATGGTCAGCACTGTCCTTTCAACTTTCAGAGGCTGTTAAGGAGAGTTTTCTGTTTTTGTAGCAGTTCTGTTTAGTCTTCCATAAATTGATAAGTCTGTTAGACTAACAGAAGCCAAATTTAGACTAGTTTTTCCAAAACCCCCCTCCAATCAGTCGCCAATGACATTAATGGGCTGTTTTTACACTGCTAGCTTGTTGGAAACATTCATCTATCCGCTGTCATTATAATGTATAAAAGCGCTGAGGGAAATGTCCTGAAACATGGCCAAAGCAAGGGGCAAAGGAAGTGTCTCATTAAACTGGTGTGGATCATTGGTGGAGGACCACATTTTCAGGGTTAAATTTAGAACCTAACTATAAGCTTGTCTCTGCATTTGGCAGCAGTGATGTCATGTCAATATCTCATTTCTTAAAATTATGGGAACACCACCTAATGCATAATTCCAACATGAAGAATTAGTGAAATGTAGCTGCGAGGCAACCATAACTGTACGTGTATTTTCCCAGACCTGTGTGGCCTTGCTGCCTCGGGCATTCAGCAGTTCCAACAGGAGGAAGTGCACTGATCTGTTCCCTGTCTGTTTCAATACTCATTAAGTCTGTCTAAGACTGTGACTAAAGGAACTGGGTGGTTCCCCCCTTCTCTTCTCTTCTCTTAGGTTTTCCCTGCTTGGTGTAATAAGAAAACTGGTGCTTTTATGGCAGGAAACCCAACGAAACCTCTCAGTGGTGGTGGTCTAGCTTTTAGCATCGGCACCAAAGGACAGCGTGTGCATGCTGTAAAAACTTAAAGCTGCATTATTGAGATCTAGTAAAGATTGTGTATTCTACAGTCATGAGAAAAATGGGTCGGGCTTAGTGGTTGGGCAATAATGTGGCAAGTTGTGCTTGCTGCATTTTTACAGTCTCATGACATTCCTTCGGTCTAATTCGAAGCAGGCGTGGAATTGGGATAATAACATTGGGCTCTTTGTTACATTTATGTGTCCTGAAGCATTAGGAGTGTGTTTTTTATTAGTTTGCCTTATAAGACCCCACCTGAATTTACTTAAGATTCTCTTGTTGTAATATATATATAGTTATTTTGTGGAAGTTTCAGAACAATGGATTTTTTTTGTTGTCTTTTTCCATAGTCTTGCCCCAATGTGAATTGCTGGAAGCTCCAGTGCAACGTGGGTCTCCTGGAGAAGGGAACCACTGCAATCCTGAAAATGCGATCGCGAGTCTGGGCCCAGACCTTCACTGAGGTTAGTGGAAGAACAACCCTGCCATTCAAAAACCACCTTCTTCATACATGAACATGTTTCCTCCAGAGAAAACGGCAAAAAATGCGTCCAACTGGAGTTTGTGTATTTTCTAATGTCAGACTTTGGCAGAAACTAAGAAACAATTTTCCAGAAGCTAAACAAAAAAAAAGCAAAAGGGAAACCTCAAATGCCACCAGGAAAGAACTCAATAACAAATTTGTTTGTGCAACACTTGGCATTTGCACTGTTTCCTAATGAGCTGCCACTCATATTTACATCAGGAAATAAAACGGTTGTTTTCTGGAATTGCTGAAGCTCCAGATTGTTCGACTTTTAGTTATCACTGCCTATGTCTGGTCTACACTCATGTATCTATCAACTCCTGCACACATTAACATGGACTGTGTGTGTTAATGTTAAAACAATGAAGATATTTTTTCCCTTGGCCTGTGTCTCCACCTTGTGTAACTTTTTTGTATTTCATGCTTCTCATTTCAGAGAGCTTACAAGCAGTATGTGATTGAATGTCTTGCCGAATTCAAAGTACAGAAGATGCCATATGGGATTCCACCCAAACACTATCCAAGTGGTCAGAAAAAGGTATTTATTGACTTTAAACAGACTACTCTTTCCATCTGGGCTGCTCAAACTGAGAAACTGTCTTGTCCTCCTCAGGTGGTGACCCCATTGGTTTGGAACAAACCAGACATTGAAAACTCTGTCCCTTTGTGGATCATCGTCTTGGCCATCCTGGCTGGTTTACTTCTTCTGGCTCTTCTTATCTACGTCCTTTACAGGGTGGGTGGATCACTTAAGCAAAAAGAGTTTCAAACATCACTCTGCTGCTAGTGAGAGAAAACAGAGACTCAGTAAAGAGCATCGCTAAGGGTTGGAAAAAGAGTGAAATGGCATTGTGATGTATTAACGAAACAGTCTGGTAGCAAAGAGTGATGATTGGTGAGAGTTCAGAAGAGAATGATGTATTTTTTTCAGTGAGAAAGAGGAAGTCAGGAAAGATTAGGTGATAGGTTTGTTACGTACTCCACAAGAACTGAGAAATGTGTTCATTAGGTGGCAAGAACTAGAAAGGAGTTAGCCACTTTCAGATTGATGAGCAGAAGAGCAAAAAGCAAAAAATGTCAGACCTGAAAACGAAAGGGGGAAGGGTAACACATTACAATATCCAACATTTATAAATGTAAAGAGTCCATCCATCTATCCATCCATTATCTGACACGCTTGTCTCGAGTGGGGTCGCGAGGGGTGCTGGTGCCCATCTCCAGCAGTAAATGGGCGAGAGGCAGGGTTGTAGAGTCCAGTTATTAATAATTATCAGATAGTTTATTTATTTTTGATAATCATTAAGAAACTACACCAAAACCATTTATAAAAAGGTAAATAAATAATTTCTGAGGGTGTTAAGCCCACTAATGTTAGGGTAGTTCCAACATGACAAATTAAATTAAAAATAAAGGCTAGGTTTAGGTGTTTAGTCCACTGATGTTAGTGATAAACCAACATGGCAGGGCAGTATGATTTTTTTTTTTTTTACTTTTTTTAAATGGTTTAGGTGCAGTTAATAAAAGATTATTAAACATTAATAAATTATATGTAAATAGTTAATAAATTATTTCTTTACAATTTATAAATGAGGGATATTTTGAAGTGTTACCAGGGGTAAAATCGTTTTTGCCTTTCCTATTTAACAACAGCCTGCCAAATCCGGACCAATCTCAGACACACAGCAAGAAAAAAGTCCAGACATGTCTGGAACAAGCAGCGAGAACCCCACAGAGAACAAAATATAATTGTAAATGTAATGTAAATCCCCTTATTGTCCCACAATGGGGAAATTCACTCTTTGCATTTAACCCATCCCCTTGGGGAGCAGTTGGCTGCCATTGTGTGGAGCCCAGGGAGCAATCAGGGGTTAAGGATTTTGTTCAGGAACCCAGAGTAGAGGCTGTGGGGATCAAAACGGATACTTGCAACCTTTTCAGAGCACAAGTGCACTGCTCTAACGACTAGACCAACAGTCCCCCGAAATGATTTCCCTCGCTTGAGCAAGAACAAATATCTTGATTCTCATGGAGTATTAGTTTGTGATTTTGAGAAGCAGCTCATAGATAAAACATGTACCTTAGTAAGGTAAAAATTCTGACAATCAGGAAGAAGTGAGTTCTGCTCACGTTCTGATCTGCATTGTTCCTCTTAATTCCACATGAACAGGCCAGTTATCAGATTTCTTCCTGAAACCTTGTCACCAACTTAACATTATGTTTCCCAGATCTGCAATGGTTTTTAAAATAATGAATGGAAATAGCCGAAAATCCCACTTTTTTATGTATGTTCATGTTCTATGTCACAATTTGGTGATTCCTTTGCCAGGTCAATGGTTATGTTTTGTTTCACACTTTTAAGATTTTCTGCATCTAAAATAAGATCACATAAAAAAAAAAAACACACAAAGAAATCTTGTGTATAAGCAGATCAGGATAATTTCTAATTGTATTTTTTAACCTCTTTGCAGTTTGGCTTCTTCAAGCGATCTCTACCTTACGGCACTGCCATGGAGAAAGCTCAGCTCAAACCACAGGCCGCCTCTGAGGCCTAACTCCCCAACTGAACTACAAGAACCACAATATCTGGCCAAGTGATTGCAATAGATGGACACAACGGAACTTGTGGCGTGGATCAGAGTTGCGCGAACGAGAGACTACTGGAACTCCGCTGTGCTGCACTAAAAAGAAGACAAACACCCAAAGATCTACAAGCCAAATGAATGTTTTTTTAAATATTTATATCTTTTTTTTTTTTTTACCCTTTTGGGATTTTTGGCAAATAGAACTTATCTTTGTGCGTAAAAACAAATCTTAGACAAAAAAAAAAGCACACGGGCTGCCGTTATCCTGTGCATCCGGGAACATTTTGGGTTTACTTTTACAGATGTTTGTGATGAAGACCTTTATAGTACCTGTTTATCTGCTTTATCTTGGTGCTAATGATCGAGTGCATCTGCTGCCGTCGACGGGAAACAACAGGATTGTGATATGATTGTCTGACCCTGTTATTTACACCTTGAACTTTGCGAGCTGTTGTCAATTTCCAGCCTAGTTTCTGCTGGGATACATCCCGCCACTATGCAACCCCATGAACAGGAAAAGCGGGTATTAAAAATGCTTTAGATGGAAGTTTGTCAGCTGTTCATGGAAATGATCACTTGCTGTCTCAGGTGGACAGTTTTTTTGTGCTTTGAATTCTTTTTTTTTTTTTTTTTTGCACTCAAAGGAAATCTACTGATATTTTTTTCCAAATACACCAAAGACTGACTGAGCTTCCTTTGAGATTGGACTTTGACTCCTACTGATCACTTTGTCCAAGTCCTGTATTTGTGTTCTCAGTGTTACCAAAGCTGCAGCCGCTGTCGGTGTAGCGGCATATAGTTAACTGGGATTGGACTGGAAACACCACAGACCTGTGGAACCTCATGTTGAAGCAGCATGGTGCTTCTTGTTGGAAAGCGGTGCTCTCCTGTCCCTTCTGCTTGGGGTGTGATGGTTAAAGTGGGGGAAAAAAGGAACACAGTTGTCGGGCATGGTAGCATAAGAAAAACGAACAAAGACAGGGCAGACAGCATTGATGTAGCCTTGACAGGAGGCTGAGGAACAATGGATCCTTTTTTCAGCTTAGTGTGTTGCTGAATGAGATACTGTATTTTTCTTCTTTTTAAATGAGTAAAATGAATGAGACGCAGCTGACATCATCCCAATATCATAAAGGCTACAGGGACTTAATAATACAATTCCTTGTATGTTTTTTTGTTAATGTACAGGTGTATCATAATACATTAAAATATCAGCAAAAAGTACATAAATTCCAATAACTAGGTTAAATTAAAGTAAAACTCATGTAGACTTATGGAGTGTGAAACTTTTCCTAAGCGTGTTTTTTTTTCTTCCACTTAACTTTCCATTAATGTGCCTAAGTGCAACTCTCTGTGAATAACCAGCTTCTGCTGAACACTATTATGGCCCTCATTAAACTATTAAATAATTATTATATAACTATATACATATCTGATGTGTGATTCAAGATTTCGAATATTTTTATTGAATCTATCCCATAATCGTTAAAACTAACATAATGAAGTATCTGAAAAGTACCTGACCTTTTTGCTGATATTCTTATTTATTAAGATGCACCTTTACTGGAGTTAATGTGCCTTAATGTAAATACTTCATGTCTGTGGGTCAGCGTTAGGGTCACCTGTGTACATCATGTGTTCATGAATTTGTGTGAATGATGTATTTAAGTGGTTTTTGTTCTCGAGTGCGTGTGGTTATAACTTCCCCACTGCCTAGTCCTTTTGTAGCCAGAGATAATTGAGGTGAACGTTTTTCATTGATTTTAAACCCAACAGCAAAAATACCTCAATCAAAGGGATAACAACTAGGCACTGGGATCTACACCATGTTTGGAAGTGCAATATTTATATCACTCTTTTTAATGTATCACTGCGTTTTATTTGTCTTTTTTTTAAACCAGAAAGTGAGGATGTAAACTAAACCTCTTGGTTTTTTAATTGTTTTTTAAATCTATTATATTATTAGCTTTCTCACTGCTAACAAAGTCAAATCTTTAAAAAAAAGAAAAAAAGAAATGCTTTCCCCAAGTTCTGATATATTTATCACTTTTTTGAACCGCTTTCACTTCTCACAGGTTTAATAGCACAGGTTGATGCTGAAACAAAGCATGGTTGAAGACGCTTAAATCGTTAATATCATCACATATTCTCCTTCAGCAGCTGTTTAAACACAACCAATTCAGTTAACATGTGTTGTACATATTTTCCCTTCACTAGATACGTCTCCCTCTGATCTTTGGGTGATTTATACAAACCTGGACTAGAAAATCCCCATTTAGTTCTGGATCTAAATCCTTCATGCGGCACATTCTCTTTATGACAACCATTTCCTTGAACTTGTCAGTGACTGGACCGTTCTACTTCCATTGTTACATCAGGAGAAGGCACTGGTAATTATTAGTTTTTTTTATGTCTTCATCCACTTTCTCTCTCCAGGACTTTTTAAAAGAAGTTGTACATATTTGTGACAAGGAGAGTTTTGATTGATTGGTTGAGAAATTTCTCACCCCATATTGGGGAGACTTTTTTTTGTGTGCCAGGTGGACGCTTTTAACCTGCATTTGTTTGTTCTTTAAAAAAATAATAAAAAAAAATCTCCCTTTTAACTTTTTCTTGTCTTCATTGAGTATGTATAAATTGGAAAATAATTTATTTATAAAAACATCATATGAAACTCTGCATGTCTGTTTGTGGCCTTGTTGACAAAATGTATATAACAATATATTTAAGTGCTCAGGACATCCAAAGTTAATATTTGTGGTACAGATGTGTAGCGTGTGTTATGTGGCAGTCAGCTGGATTCTTCCACAGGATATGTGGAGTATAAAAAAATAAAAACATTTACAGCAGATACAGAGCAGCACACTACATGGTGTTACATTGCCTTTTTGGGCTTATGTAAGGCGTGTTGGTAGAAAACATTCTCAGCTGTCCTGTGGTTTAGCACTGAGGTCATTACCGTGCATTCTGCACATTTTCACTCTGTGCTGCGCAAAAAGATCCGCCCTTTGATTTGTTAAAGTTTTATTAATCCTTTTGGTCCAGTTTCCTCTTCTGATTGAGGTGAAAACTTCCAGTCTTTGTAAATCAGAGGCAGGTGTCCTAGCATTCGATGGTCCTGGATAACTGCGTCAGCCTCCGCTGGTTGTCGATCACCTTCAGGTTTTGAATGTAATGCCTGATGTTGCTTAGAGTGCGCAGCGGGAGGGCATGGTCAGAATCTGGGAGGGAAAGGGAAAGGTGGGGGCATTTCTGAGTTAGCATTCAAAATTCAAACAACAAAAAAATTGATGGAGTCACACCCACTGAACATTAACACATTTTCTCACATTAAAGCCACAAACTACAGTATATCTAAATGTGATTTTTCTAATAGAACAATACCTCTATTTGTATTAAACCCCGTAAATACACGCCTTACATAATAAACAATTTGATTTCAGAAAATCCAATTGTAAATTACTATTTCAACACAAGCAAACTTTACATTTAATTATTGACTTATATAGTTACACTACATGTATTATATGGTGCTTATTTCTGAAAAGGGGTATGATGTTCAATTCACTGATGATTCAACTGATGTTGAAAAGTTGAATTCAGGGAGCTTCTATCTCAGGTTTTTGGTGACTTTGACAAGAATCAAGGCTAACTTTAAACTAGACAACCTAAAACGTTGTTTTTATTGATGGATTTAATTTGGTTTGGATTAAATAACTAGGTATCTTGTTAAAAGCTGTTCTAGCTGAGCTATGGATCCCTACATGACCAGCATAACTATTAGGAGCTTCTAAGCTGTTACTCTGACTGATTCTTCTTGCCCAGCCTGCTAGATCAGATAAATGACCTTTACTTCTTTGGTTTGCTGCTATAGCCGAGTTTTTATTTTCAGATAATAGAATAAACAGTGATCTGAAATGGGTAAAAGCTAACCATATTAAGATACTAAGAGCTTTCCATTTCTTTCTTTTTTTTAAGTTGAGGTGGTATGTGTTGCAATAATGGTATGAAATTTAACTAAAATGTGTATAAAGGGAAACTTACAGGTGGATAATCGAGCAGCAGGACCATCCAGAAACATCCGGTCAGCCAGACCCCTCTGTGGTGATGAAGGCACTGCAGAGCAGGAAGAATATAAAATAGAGTTCATCCCACCAGTGCAGAGCTTACTGAAACATGCATGCACACGTACAACCACAGAATGGTAAATTGTTTTTCACAAGAACTAGTTGACTAACCGTAAGGCTGGCTCCTGCATTCTAGTACAATTTTAACTGTCTTGGCAAGCATTCGCTATGAAGACAAAGAGATTAATCATTTCACTTCCAGCTGTTCACAGCTCGCAATATATATTTTTAGGGAATACAGTTAAGAAGGAATACCAAAAAAAAAAACATATGTCCGTACCATTTTTTCAAAATTCACCAGTTTGTCAACATAATTTGGGTTGCCCTCGTGGATGAATGTCATGTCTGTGTAAAAGAAACCCAGAAATCAAGTATTTATTAATTTTTTAAACAACAAATACATTTAAAAGAGATATCTGGAGTAAAGTTGCTAAATGCCTGTTGGGCCTTTTTTACCTTTCAGGAGCAGAGGCATAAAGGGAATGTAAGGAGGATTGAGTTTGGCCACTGCTAGTCTGTAGGCCCTGTGGTTCCGTGAGGGATCCTAACAGAACCAGAGAAAGCATAAACACCAGAACCTTCTTTACACACTTATTAAATAGATAAAACTTATTAACCAACACTAATCTGGACAATCTGGGAAATTCAATAACCATCTAATGTGGATTACCATCAGTCTCTCATAGGCGCAGTAGATTCTTTTAGTTTTGCTCGGTATTCGCTACAAAGTAAAGTAAAAATTGTATTAGCTGTGGTAAAAAACAAAAACATAAGACAAGCACTTTGATCACACCTCACCTCCCAGGTCTTATAAAGCCTCTGCACAGCACTGTTGCTCAGACCAAACATCACAGCAAAAAATGAGTTGAGATTCCTTTGCTCCTTTAACCTAAAAACAAAACAAATGTGTAAAATAGCATGTCGCTGCAAAATGAAGAGTTTTTAGAATAACAAAATAAACAATATAGTAGAGCTAAATAGTGACACTAAAAAGTCACACACACTGATTTTTATAAGTGGAACCAAAGGTTGATGTCAAACAGCACTAAGTGATGATGCCTGATTTGTTAACAAAACCATCTTAAGAAAAGTTTTCCCACTAGAGTTTTAAAAACTTAAGCTATTAAGTTTTGGTTCTTGCCGCAGGGAGAAATGTGGCCTGTTTGCACTTTCCTACATCAGCCTTTATTTAATTACACAAATATTTTTTTTAAAGAAAGAAAAGTTTTCATGCTGCCTTTTGACAGGCCTAAGCCATCAGCAGAGTGTTCACTGATGGCCAATTTCTGATTCTAATTAACAGCCTTTTAACAATTTTCTATATCTCAATACATACATTTAATGGCTAAGACAATTACCGGTAAGAATATGTGCAAATGAACAAGTTGCTGCTTTAATTGTTGGTGCCCCTCTAAAAGCTGTTTAAATGGGAGAGATATTTTGAATTTTAAATATAAATATCTTAATTTAAAAGGTTATGCAAACCTAAGACTTAAGGATGGTGATCATTTTTGATTCCTGCTTCCAAAGTGTAAGAGCTAATAAGTGTTGCTTGAAAGATAATCTTCAGGCATATTGAGTCAGAAGAAACAGAGGTTTGCTGCTACTGTCACACTGTTTATTTTCCAGCCAATTTGGTGTCATATTTAAAAAGGACCAATCCAAAAATCTTGGGACAGTTAAGGTTAAGGCTTATTTTTAGAATCAGCCGGGGTTTGATTTTAAAATCAGCTCTAAAACCAACTACTTGCTGACTGTTTATTTTTATTGAGCTGATCATTTGAAGCAGCTCAGCGGAGCAGGAAAAGGACTTTAATCAAAAAAGGTAACAATGCAACAAAGATTTCTAAAGCTGCACTGCAAAAATAAGTCATTTTTTATTAAAATAAGTGCATTTTGTCTTGAATTGAGGAGGTAAGTGAGACATTTTGACAATGGAACAAGACAATTTACATTTAAAATAAGAAAAATAATTGCAGTCTCTTATTTCAAGTGCATATTTTCTAATTATCGTATTTTAAGAATAAACATACTAATTCCATTTGCATATCATGTTAGTTACCAACTGAAATTAAGGGTAAATACAATTTAATATATTTTTACTTATTTCTAGATATTTGACACAGTCTGTCCTGTTAGAAAGGAGCTGATCTGGTAGGTTCGGTTCATCTGTCAAACTGAAAGCCCAGGGAGCAATAATGGAATCTCATGGCCAGATATGTTTACAACAGTGGCGGTGATAATGTGACATTGTGAAACCGGCTTTAAGTCAGTGTAAAATGAAAGACATAGAGAGCATTTTGCAATAGTTTTAATGTAAAGGCTAGGCAAAGCCTTAGATGTATTTTCCCAAAATAAAAAAGGCAAAAGATTGACAGTGAGAAACTTTAAAATTACATTTCCATGAGAGCAAACCATATCTAATCTAGCTATGACATGTAAACCCTTCCCCCAGCTTTCTTACACTGAGGCGATCTTGATGAACTTCTTTAACAGAATGGCTCGTTTCACCAGATCCTCGCAGAGGCACAGCTCAGTCACAACCCAGTACTGGACCACGTTAAAGTGGCGCACAAACCGCTCCAAGTTAGCCGTGGTGGCACCTGGGAATTTGTGTCGACCAAATATGTAGTAGATGAGCTCCACCTGGAGAAACAGGGACAACTTGTCACAATTGCATTTAAACAGAAGAACCTTGAAGTCGCTGATGGCGAAACGTTGAAGCTTGGAGCTGAGGAGAATAAGACTGTGAATAAATGTTAAAATAAATATACCGGTAAGTTAACCCATCAAAATGTGATTAAACAGATTTCTTTTACTTTTTGGGGCAAACAACTGCAGCTCTCCAAACATTTCCCCTCTGCTCTTTAGCGAGTCATTTATATTCTAATGTGAAATTTGATTTTGGTCCAAAAATATACTACTGAAAAACTACAGTGAACACTCAAATAACACATCCTAGATTTTGATGGATTTAATATTCTCCTTGAATATGTTGTTCTGTACAAAGTTAAGTGTGCTGACAACAAAATCACACAAAGATCAATGGAATTCAAATGTATCGACCAATGGAGGCCTGGATTTGGAGTCACAGGCAGAGTTAAAGTGGAAAAACACACTACAGGTTGATCCAACTTTGATGTAATGTCCTTGAAACAGGTCAAAATGAGGCTCAGTATTGTGTGTGGCCTCCATGTGCTTATATGACCTCCCTACGGTGCCTGGACATGCTCCTGATGAGATAGCAGATGGTCTACGGAGGGATCTCCTCCCAGAACCGGACTAAAGCCTCCAACAACCCCTGGACAGTCTGTGATGCAATATGGGATTGCTGGACGGATGGAGACAGGATGTCCCTGATATTCTCAGTCGGATTCATGTCTGTGGAACAGGTGGGCCAGTCCATAGCTTCAATTCCTTCATCTTGCAGGAACTGCTGACACACTCCAGCCACATGAGGTCTAGAATTGTCCTGCATTAAGGCTGATTTATACACCAGGTTGTCTGCTTGTGTGTCGCAGTGAATGCAAATCTATCCCCTGTCCCTAGAAACTCTGGTGCAACTCTCCAAAACTGTAGATGACCTCAGACAGTGCGGCAGACAGGAGGGCTCTGATTGGTCAAATCCGGTCATCCGTTTTACACTATGCGTATTTCCTGTTTGGTACCTTACCGGCTTGTTTTGTTTGTATGACCGCCATTGTGGGAAATGGCTTGTGAAGTTGGACCAGCTAGAAGAGCGAGGTGGAACGCTGGGACCCTTTTTCAACCTGGATCCTCGCTCTTTTTCGCCCTCATGTCCCTCCGTTGTCGGAGGGACAACCTGTCCCCACTTCCTCACCGCCTTGGCCGTATCTAGACCTACAGCTAGTTTCGGAATGTCCCTCTTGCGCTGTGGCGTGGAATAAAATAGCGCAGTGCTCCTCCTGTTCCTCCTTGCACAAAGGCAGAAGTAGCGTTCGTGCTGCTGGGTTGTTCCCCTCCTATTGCCTCTTCCACATCTCCCGGTTGTGCCTCCAGCCTCTGGACACTAAGCTGACAGACACAGCAAACCTTCTTGCCACAGCTCGTATTGATGTGCCATCCTGGATGAACTGCACTACCTGAGCCACTTGTGTGGGTTGTAGAGTGTATCTCTATGGTGGTATGAAAATACCACCAACATTCAAAAGTGACCAAAATATCAGCCAGAAAGCATAGGTACTGAGAAGTAGTCTGTGGTCTGCACCTGCACAACCACCTGGACAACCACTCCTTTATTCAAGGTTTCTAGCTAACAGCCAATATTGTCCACCTGTTGTCTGTTCCATTAGCAAAAAAACATGTGAACTTGATTTTCAGTCAGTGTTGCTTCCTAAGTGTACATCATTACCTCATGCATGGCAGTAAAAAGTTCCCAGTCATAGTTAGTCAGTTCTGTGGCAATATCTTTGGAGCTCATCTGCTCAATGAGGTCAGTCGTTCCCTGCTCTGGGCCCTGCTGCTCTTTCAGGGGCTGCTGTAAGAAACAGGGTTTTCATTGTTAGGCTTTTCTCATTTTTTATGAAAATGCCTTAAATGTGCAGAAAGCAAACATTCCTCACCAGCTGTTCCACTTCACTGCTGGTGCAGATGAAGAGTCTCTCATTGAGACCCAGAGCGGTGTACACCGCAGTGGCATCCAGCTTTAACTGGGCTCTATCTGTATGCAAGATTACACATAAATATATAGAATATATAAATATATATATAATGGATATAAATACTGGAGAAAAAAAAAGGAAATTGAGTACCACCTCCACTGGAGTTAATTTTGAGAAGAACATGATCTCCATCTGCTTTGCCTATTGCGGACATCACCTCATGAACTGCAGAGTTTACTGGGAGCATCAAGGAGAGGGGTTTGCTGTCTGGCTTGAAGATCTCATACAACACTGAGGTGAGAGGAAGGACAAAAAAACATGAATCCTCTCTGATTTAGGGCTTGGCAAATTAGATCAGGCCAACTTTCACCATAAAAGCATTTGCCACCTATAGTGCATTATAGAGAAAATAAATACATCAGTAAAAAATAAGAGAAAACATTCTGATAACACTTTAAATATGAAATCATTAACTGATGAAAATGAAAAAATATTACAAGCAGATTAACAATGAAAAAAAAAAAAAATTAAAAAAACCTTTTTTTTTTTTAAGATCAAGATTTATAATGTTTTATTGCCTGATGTTTGGTAATTATAGTGAGATTGATCAGAAATTTGAAGAGGCAAAGCATTGGGTTTTTAAGCATATGTTAAAGCTAATTTAGAAATAAAGTAGGATGACTCTGTCATGACTCTGCATTTTTGGTTCTGATTAAGTTTTCTTTTTGAGTTTTTAGTTATACTTTGATTCACATCTTGCAGTGTTTCCTAGTTTATTGGTTTCATTTCCATTTTGTGTTTTTGGTTATATTTTTTAGTTCATATGTATTTCTTGTTTACTCTCTGTTGCCCTCTTTTGCAGGTCTCCTCTTAGCTCCCTTCTTGATTCCTCTGTCCACACCTGCTCCCAATCTGCTGATTAGCATGGCCTTTGTTCAGTCTCCCATTTATACAACTCCTGTTCAATCACTGCTTGCTGGTTCCTCATCGTTTCCTGGCTTCTCATGTGTGTTTTCCTGAATGTCTCCTAGATTTTGGTTTTCTGTATTAATTATTTTAGTTTTTTGCTTCAGTTCCTGCTTTTTGGACATTAAACCTACAAGAACTCATTTCTACCTCCTGCATCTCTACATTTGGGTCCTCTAAAACCTCCACCTAACCTCACAACCTCAGCTATTTAGTTTCATGCAATGAAGTTTTTTTTTAAATGACATATATAACCTATAAATAATAATAACCCCTTTAATTTAGTTAAACTAAGGAGAAAAAATTATATGAAATATATTTTATGCAAATCAACAATGAGCATGGATATTCTGCATCATTATTTAGTAGTTTTATAAATGAAGCATCAAAGAAAGGGCAACACAAACTACATTGATTGATACACCGATTAGCTGATTTATTTGTTGGTTTTGAGATCCTGAGCATTACACACCCTTATCCTGTGCTTTGATTGGCTGTAGCCTCCCAGCTGGCTCCTCACAACTTGAAAACCAATCAAAAGGCTGATTCTGTGGATGGAAAAAAAATGACTCAGTGACCAACAGAGGCGAGAAAAAGAAAATTGAGTGCATTAATAATTGATCATCTAATAGCAAACAGTTAAGCGCTTTTTTTCTCCATTCAAACTAACCACCCAAAGCACTTTGCAACAAAACTCACCTTGCTCAGTGACTGATAACCATTCTCCAACCTGCCAAATTTATCACAAGGGGAAAAAGGTGTTTCATAATCACATTCATTATTGCTATACTTAGATTTCTGAACATATTGTGGTAATTAAGTAAAAATATGTACATTTTTGTTCTTCTTCTTTCTCTAAACTGTTCCCTCAAGATATTGGACAAACGGTGATCAGCTGCAACCTCCGTCTTCAGTCTCTGCTTGAGCCAAGAAAAAAAAAACGACAGGGGAATTAAATCAAACAATGAAATAATAAAAAATATTATTCTTTCAATTTTCATTCCAGAACCTTCCTAATCTTAACCTAATACAGCATCTCACCTCCAGAAAGTCCAAGACATCTGGGTCTTCTTTCAGTAGAAGGCCAAACAGTGCCACCCACTGGACAATCAGCTTCACTACCTTCTGTTTGGTGTTGAAGATGTATGCAGTCTTCTCCTGCTCTGAGCCTTCAGTCAACTCTGCCTGGTAAGTGCAGTGAAGGTTAAGGGTCAAACACGAAAAAAGCCATTAAGGCAGATAGGAGCAGCAAAGATTATTAATCCATGCAGCCCCATGTTGACTGTGAGTAGACTGAAGACAATGATCAGGATATTGATGCTGCAAAGCAGAGCACAGCTGACTGGATGGCATGAAGACTTTATGTGTGAGCAGGAAGTCGCTCACGCAGGGATCTGAGGAACGAAAAGCATCAAAAGAACAGCCGATCAGTTATACAGCTGGAATCACTTCCATAGAAAAGTATGAAGATATGTTTGCCTGCTCCACACCTATGGGATCATTTCCATTAGTATCCAGCTTCAACGTGTCCAGTAGATGTTCCAGTATTTTCTCAGGTGTTCCTGACATAACTGTGTATCTGCAATGAGGACACAAGTTGAATAGACGTTGCATATACCTTTACACTGCTGCATTGTGCTACCTTAGTGCTAATCAAGATCTTTATGTGGTAAAACAGTTTTAAAACCCTGAATGACGCATTTTTAAGATATGTAATTCCTTGAGTGCAAGTAATAGAGAACGTCACCTGATAATAGATTAGGGATTTAAAATAAATGTTTTATTTTATTTAAGAAGGATGCTGAGGATAAAAAAAAGCTGCTAAACCTTCAAAGAACAGAAGGACAAAACCTGAGCTTTCATGGGATTCATTCGGATTGTTTTCCATCAAGTTTTAGCATATTTCAATATCTTTTAAAGCAGAGGACAGTTCAGACCCCTCAGATTGACAAATAGATGGAGAAAGGACACCCATGTTTTTTTTAGCTCAAAACAAAAAGTCATCACCGCCCCTACAGGCTTCGTGGCCCAGGGTGGGCGTGATTCCCACGTTGCAGACCTCTGCTCTAAAGCTTTCAAAATAGCACTGACCCAGTGCTGGGATACAAACATGACACGGTTCAAGCCAATGTTAAATTATTATCTTTATACCCAAGTTGGTACCAATTTGTTAGTGTTTATCATTTTTCACCCTTTTGAAAATAGTATTCAATATTCTACTTGAAGTAAATTTTTTTTGTTATCTTAGCAGCACTGGTTTAAACAATCTCCACCCACTGAGAAAAACTTTGTGGAAAAGACATTGAAAGAGGACATGATTTACATCCAAACGATGTCTACATTTGGTTGTTAAGGGAAAGGTAAAAAGAGTTAATTTTCAGATCGTTGAAAAGACGTGGAAAATTACTATTTCAATGTCATTGAACGTCTATTATTGGACTTAAGTGGGACAAAATCAGACCAACCAAACACAGTCCAATTGTCAACACCTATTTCTGGACTAAATCAAGACTACTACGCACTGATCAGATTTAGCCTAAAAAACCAACCTATGTTTTATTGTTTACAAATGATCCTGAAATCATTGCTGTGTTCTAACACACAGCTCAAACATTGCAGTGCAGCTACACAGTATAAACGGAACACATTCGTTACAAAAAGACAAAGCTTAAAAGACCCATTTTATCCATACATCAACTGCCTTTAATAATGTTAGATTTTATCTTAATCTAAACACCAACACAAGAAATGATTTAATGGGGGGGTACGTTGCAGCTTTAGAAGATATTTACCAGTTAAGCAAATATTTAATTGCTATACAAATTAACTTTGGCAAATAAAGATATTACTTCTTAAAAACAAAGGTTCAAATGACTTTCATAGAGGATTTTCATCAGTGTAGGTTTCCACCTTTAGTTTTGGTCAACATCTCATAATGTCAGACAATATTTTGTTTGGCTGAAAGAACAAGACTGTATCTGTAGATGCATGAATACAACTAACAATAGTGAAAATAGATGATTTAGGGAAGAAGAGGATTCGTTTTTCTTACTTGCTGTTGGCAGCAGCCCCCCCTTGTGCATTGCTGTCTGCACTCTGTTCCAGCACCAGGACAGTTTTCCCATGCTCCTCCAGTCGCACTGTGTTAGCCTCCACATCCTGCAGAACAGAGCAGCTGATTTCTCTTCGTTTTCATCTGTGTGATCTTTTCTATATGAATTAATAGCTATGTCTTTGAGCTGTTTTATGTGAGTCAGACAAACCTTGAGGATCCGAATGAAATCCTGTTTATCGACCCGGAGGAAGTGGCAGTTGTCCTCTCTGAGGATGATAGTGGCGGCACGTGGCGCATCATTCAGTAAAGCTAGCTGCCCAAAGTCCTCCCCTTCATGCAGGGTGGTTACAATGCCCTGTTTGAACACCAGTTACATGTGCATTACAAATCTTTTAAGAAGGGAGAATTAGCATTCAATCTGAGTGAATTTAAATGCTGCATTTGGTAATAACCTTTCCATGTGTGATCACGTTCACAGAGCCTTTCCAGATGATGTACCAGGAAGTTCCTTTATCTCCTTGACTGAATACTAGATCACAACAAACACAGTCAGCTACACACATCTTTGTCAATAAATTACTGTTAACCCTGCTTACATGGTCCTTTCCTCTGACATGCTTCATTAACTCTCATAATCATGAGCTGGTCGACAGTGGAGTAAGCAAAAATGATTCAATGACCTGCCCTCCTTTAGTGAAGAGGAGGATAAATAAATCCATGAAGAATGTTTAAAATGGTGTAAGGTGAAGACAGATGGGTATGAATGTTGGCATACATAGAAAAGGAGCCTAGAGAAAACTTTTGTCTACTTTTGTAGTGGGATAAGCTGCATGGCTTTTTCAACTTAACAATCATCCAAAGTACCGTCAAGCATTAGCACCTTGATAATATATTTCAGTTTAAACTGCCTTTCACTTTCGTTTTACTCCTTAATCTATGTAGAGCACTTTGAAAAGTCTGCGGACTGAATTTTGCTATAAAAATAAACTTGCCCTGCTCTTAAATTTTTTTGGGGAAAAATCCTGGCGTTGGTGGAGGACCTGCTTTCTCAGGTACATGAGTAAGAGAGATTAAAAAAATTAAGGCATTTTTTAAGAAATTCTGATCTATTTCTGTTTTAATATATATTATTAATTATATATATATATATAATTTATATATATTAACCTAAAGCTATATGCATGGTCTGGTTGTTACATGTCAGGTACGCCGCTGATTGACAGTAGAACTGCAGTCAGTCCCTGACTGGCATGGCTATCACTGCCCCTACATAGTTAGGGACTCATTTCCCACTGGGATCAGCTTCATAGTCATGGTAGGCCACTTCTTTGATTTTATTTATTTTTCTCAGGCTACTCGTAAGCCCACAGCCCGCCAAATGTTGAAAGGGCAATATTATTGCCATTACGGTTAATATACAGTAGAAATTTCACTGATTCATTAATTAAATGTCACAGAGGATGATATGGGGGAAAGGTCATATAAGAAGGGGAAAAATTAAAATTAAGAGTTTAAAAAAAAAGGGAGATGCCATCCCCCCTCTGCTCAAGTACTGTATATACCCTAAAATCAGAGGTGGGAGGGGTACCTTAAAATGTTATTAGGGTAAGATTAGCACTAATATAAAACACTATAAAAGACAAAGTATCCATGGAGATTTAGCTCATATAATCAAAAATCTTGACTATATCTATACTTTAGGAGCTAAAAACTTCAGCAGTAGTGTTAAATTATTTTTTGCAACTCTGACTGTAAGTTTAAGTATACTCTACTGACGAAGGCTGAATCATGATACAACATATAAAACCAGCTATTTGAGCTGGACAAGTTTAAATATATTATGACATTTTTCCAGAATCTGGCCAAATAACATAAATCTAAGTTCCTATACATCCCCATTAATGTTTCTATCCACATCTTTTAACAAGATGCCTTTCATACCATCAACCAGCTAGTGTAAATTTAGCCAAATTTGACCAGGTTGATACACCAAATCCATGAATGCGTACCTATTCTTGAAACTCCTGGATTAAAGAACATATATTATAAATCCTTCTGTATCCATTTCTTTTTTTCTTTTTTAACACCACTAAATTATTATAATGGATAATAATTCTACTCTGATAAAATAATTATATAAAAACCAGTGAAAATACACTTTAATGTAGCAGTATGCCTGAAGATTTGGTTTGAAAATATGAAAATAAGTGCAGAAACATAATCCCTACACATCTAAGTCTCTAGCTATTCAATATTAAGCATCTCTCTGTCAGCACTAAGATTCTGCATGGGTGATATCATCAACAAAGAATCACTTACAAACTGTTCCTGACTTAACGTGGGATTCAAACACCAGCACTGCAGCCAGCTCCTTTCGTACCTACAGACACACCAAAGAAAGAAACATTTTTCTCCTGCTCTGGTAAAGACCAGTAATTAAGAACTGAAACATCTTCATTCCGTAATAAATATAGCATTAAAACATAGATCTCCAAATATAGAGGATTTATTTATGCAGGAAAAAACAGATCGACTCACTGATGAGGAAAGATGAGCAGCAGCCTTCACGTGGAGCAGTTCCTCATAGATGACCTCAATATCCTCAGCGCTCCTCTGACTGGGACTGTACAACCATTAAATTATCATTAAGCAAAACATCTAGCTATTTTAGGCCCACACAACTATTAAACACAATAGGTTGTCCAGCAGTTTTTACGTGCTGACCTTTTGCGAAGAATCATGGTGAGCAGAGCATCCGGGCCCAGCTGAGACAGCAGGGACAGCGCTTCATGTAGCTCGTCCTCCAAGTCCTTCTCGTTGACGACATGGTTCAAGCCAAGCTCTGATTCCTGGAAACGGTAGAACTGTGTGTCTTTGTCAAGGAAGTTCAAATCCTGTTTCACTGGAAACAAACACAAAACAAAAGAAAATGGAAAAAAATAATAAAAACAACATCAAACAAATGAACAGGAACCTCAATGTTTTTCCCAAGAGGTTTTATTCTTTTAAGGTAAGAGATTTGTAATCCACATGGAATCCACAAGGAGGGCTATTTTAATCCAGTTCCCTTTAGTTCATGATCAAGCACCGTCATCCTGATTGGAGTGGTCTTCATCAGGATAACAGAGCCTCATCGGAGAAACATTAACCGTAAAAGAACCCTTAACTCATACCAAAACATTGTAAAACAGACACCACAATCTTCAAGGTCATTAAATTTCAACCTATTCACATCCTTCTGGGGAATGTTGGAGTGGGCGTCTCGTGCAGAGACTATCATTGGAATTTATTAAGGATACTATAAATATGGAGAAATCCATCATTGGTATACATCTTCCATCATCCTAAGGCCCAAGAGCATCATGAATATTAACAAACACCTTCAGGTATTGGACAAGATATTACCTCAAGAAAATCTAAAAAGATATTATCTCCAGTTATGCTGGTTTTCAGAGGCCAGGAAGTGCTCATTTTACGACATGATTTACAGCATCTTTACAAACACTATACAAAATGAGCTGCTTCTTTAAATTTAGTTCACATAAATAAATACATTATAAAAACCACCAATGACAGAATTTAACTCTAACTCTACAGATCTTTATGAGGCACATCGCAAGATTTTCTTATTCTTCTTTGATAAAGGCCATAAACTCAGATCAGTTTTTGTTGAATCAATAATTTCAGTCTTGCCCTTATGCTTCTACCACTATGTTTTGCAGTGGGATTACTGGGATTATGATAATGTACAGATTTAGTTCTCTATCCAAAAATCATTTTGCATGTTAGCCAAAAAAAAAGAGATAAAAAATTGGATTAATTTCTATAACTTACCTCAGATTTACAAGTCTCCAAAATCTCCTCTGCTGCATGATGATGAACTGATGCTACTAGTGTGTATTTTAATCTCAGCATAAATAAAGCTATACCGTGGCAGCTTCAGGGGGTTATTAGATGACTTCAAGAAGCATATTACTGCATTTCATTTTGGGGTATCAACATGTGGGGAAGTTCAAGGGGTGTAAAATTTGGAAGGCCGTATAAACAGCTTTTATTATGTTTTTATGTTTTGCAAAACAAAACTAGAGCCTCACCATGAACAAGGATTCCCTCATCCACCAAGACCTGCCACATTCCAACAGCCTGACTTCTTGACTGGAGGCACTCGCTCTGTTTCATCAGCCAGTCAACTAACTCCTTCCCAGAGCAACAATGCCTATAAGGGAAACAGTGCACCGTAAAGTTAATTTGCATGCAACTTGCTTTCAACTTGCAAGGTGAAGGGAATAAAATCATGAGACTTGGTACCTGTGTGTTTTCAGGTGATGCTTCCTGTCTCGGATCAAGCCGGGGTTCTTCTCAATCATAACACTGTACACCGACCTGGCAGCCTTTACAACACGATCTGAAAGAAACTAAATAGAAAGGAAGAATTAAGATGACAACCTTTGGAGGATATGAAATATATAAAGGTATTTGCATATATCATATATATATCATCATATATACTGTAGAAGTGTGTATCGGGAGAAAAAAAAAACTGACAGTTTACTGACACTTTTCAAAAATATCAAAAGTCTAAAAAATGGGTTAGTCTTAACTGGCCAACTTCTGTGATGACATCTTTTAGAGCCACTGACTGTTGTAAAGGATCAAGTCTTTTTAAGGTTTTCTCCAGCAGCTTTGTACATCAAGAGAGTCACAATTTCACCAATTCCCTTTTTTTTTAAAACTTGCTCAGACTAAATCAGATGGGATAACAGCAGGTTTTCAAATCTGGCCAACAATTCTGACGTGGATTTCTTCCTGAGCATTGATCAGTCCCATAGCAATGTAGCAAAGACTGTAAGGTTAGGTTCTCTTTTTTGTTCCAAAAGGGCTGGGTAAAAAAATCGTTTTAATCGATTTTGAATCGATTCCTTTACATTTTTGCAAAATCGATGTCTGGGGAATGTCATTGATTAGTTTTATAGTGACGTGCATGACGTTCACATTCAAATGAGCAGGAAAGATCCACTCAAGATCACTTCAAGCCAGACAGGTGCAAATATAACCAATAGGTTGACTGAAGACATTAACAAATGGGGGCTGACCAGCAAACACCCTGTAGTTGTTACAGACAACGCTGCAAATATGGTTTGTGCAGTGAAGATAATGCAGCTCATACCTGTCTGCTGTGTCCCCACTGTGTCACATCTGCTTGCTCATGTGAGGCTTTTTTTAATTTTCACAAACAAGTTTGCACTTTTGAGACAGTTTTGCTCACATCTGAAGTTTAAATGGCCCGATTTACAAGTTTGCACTTTGCGTTTAATGTGACAGGAAAAGATCAAATGAGTATTTTGAAACACAGTTGAGACATTTTCATTATTGTAAAAACAGATTGAATCGAAATTAGTCGATTTAAAACTGTATTAATCAAAATCGAATCAATTCAGGACTTTGGCAAAAAAATACGCAGCCCTATTGCAAAGTAAATGTCCACCCAGTCGTAATTCCTCCAGTGTTACCCTGTATTTGACTACCTCCATCTTTCTATCAGTTAGGACAACCCTGTGAATGACTGAGCTGCTGCAGGGATGGCTCCGTTGGGTAGAATGCACTTGGGGCTAAAATGTCACTCATCCCAACATCTGAGTTGGTTCTTCATAAAAAGGAGAGGAGGGAGGGGGGGAACTGGGCCTATTCCTTCCCTCGCTTGTCCTCCTTGGATTTGGTTCATGAGCTTTATTTGTTTCAGTTTGGTCTGATTCGTTTAATTCAACCTTTTCTGGATATTGGATTTTCTCCATTCTTCAGTTAAACAGTTTATTTTAACTTTATTTAAATAAGTATGTATAAGTCATGTCAGAGCCAGGAGCTGAAGAAATAGGGGCTCATAGGGGATATGACCTCTCTGACTAGTTTCCCTATCCCTGCAGATAAAAAGCATCCCAACAGATTCTTTTTATTTATTTTTCCATAAAGTGTGAACGTGTGTATGCTTGCGTGTTCTGTCTGTCTGGTAAAGAAGGCTTGTAAAGGTGAGGGTGGGGGTTGCTGGGCGTTGTTTTGGGGTGCTTACATATAGAAGTGCCACTAAATGTGTCATCTTTATACTTTGTACTCTGTATGTTATTGTTTTAAAAAATGGTCAATAAATATATTTGGAGAAAAAAAAGCATCCCAACAGTATTTTACTCCCACTACCCAGTTTCACTGTGGTGATGCTGTGTTTAGGGGGAGTTATTGTCTCACATTGACTTATCTGATCCAGTAATTCTAATCCACATTTCTGATTTTAAGCAGAAATTCATATGGCTTACTTTGAGTAATGGCTTCTTCCTTGCTGCTCTTATTTGCAGAGTAGATTACTAATATTTGTCATGTCAACAGATTCTGTCACCTGAATTGAAGATCTCCATATTTAACTTAGATCTAGTTACTGGAAGTTTAAGCTGTGTAAAAGAGGTGCACTTTATTACAATCGGTGTTATGTTTTTATAGAGATGCATGATGGTTTATTGCAAAAGCAGTCCCTTTTTAACGAAAAAGCCAACTTCTGCCATGTTGGCTAACACTTCAGAAAATTCCCTGACAAATGTGACTTTACAAGTGAAAAGGAGGGACACACTTATCATAACAGTAATCCCCCTCACTTTTTACCCACCCCCAGTGTGGAAAACATGGTTGATGGTGTGTACATCAACATCGTGAGTGGAGATTTCTGTAGGTGTTGAAGTGTGATTTAGTGTGTGTGAGTGTGGGTTGTATGAGGGTGAGAATGTGTTAAAAATGGCTCTGCAAAACTCTCCCACACCCCACTGAGCTCCCAGCCTGTGCAGCTTGTTCTGTGGCTGGTACACAGCAACAACAAACTTTCGCCTTCTCACCACCCTCAAAGTTTTTTCCTCCACGAGTCCAAACCTTCCATTATAGTCTGAAGCAAAAGCACAGAGGTGGGTTTCCACCACTTCAGAGGGCTTTCTGTAGTTTCCTGTGAACTCACACAGCAACTACAACCTGCTCAGAACTAATTTCACTGAAGCAAACTCACCATAAACCAGGGCAGTTTTCCTATTCAATCTAACCTGCCACTATTTAAATGTGCTATTTGTCCTCAAAGGACCCCAAAATGCCCACGCATAGGCAGATTTAGGTCACTGCAATGTGATTAACACAAGTGTCCACATGCAACTCAATGAGCTCTGGTTAAAACCTGAAAAGACTACGGATTGTGGCCAAAGCCTGTCAGTCACTCATGCAAACAAGAGCTTATGTAATATGTATATAAAAAGGGCTTGGTTTATGGCTGTGTAATACACAGCAGTTCAGGATGTTTTAAGTTCAATGCATGACCTACATTTTATGACCGAGTGTTGTGGAACCTTCGCTCCTCCCTGTCTTGTTTCTCCCTCCTGCATGTCTTGTGATTACACGAGAGGCTCAGAAGCCTGCATCCTGGCCCTTTAGAGTTTCCTTAAGAGTTTATTGTTTGCCCAAGGTGGTGGTCTTGAGATTCACACAAAGATCAACATTGACTGTGTCCTGTTTTGTATATTCTATTTTCACTTTTACGGAAAGCCTTTAAAATAATAAGCAATATAACCTCTATCAATCTTGTGACCTCCTCTGATCATCCACAGTTTGCTTAGGATGCAGAAACACCCACTGACCTTTGCTCTCCCTACTGACATTATGCCCTGATGACGTCACCACGCATTCATCACTCTGTTAGGTCCAAATTAATATGATTGAAATGGAAAAAGAACTATTTCTTAGAGAAATGTAAAAGGAAATGCAAAACTATATGGTTTAACATACACAGTAATATCAAAAAAGATGAGATGCTGTTTAAATTTATTAAGGAAACACGAAGGAAGCTGTCATGCCATGCTCACACATCTTCAATGATAATTATCCTAACAATATATAATGCCCCTCTGCAGTTCATCAGTGCTGGTTTCTCTTAATTTCTTCTATCCTCATATGCGTTTCTCCCTGGCGTTTTGATTTCTAGTTTATCATGCGTGGATTTTTGTTTCTGTTGTCACCTACATCACACTAAATTTACAAGAACTCATCACTGCATTTGGGTCCTCAATCAACTACCACCCAATGCTTACACTTTCACAATACTGAAAAAAATATGTGTTGCGCAATCTACCAGCAGAATTGCCCTAAACTGGACACAACTTAAGTCAAGAAACAGTATACCAAAACAATTTAAGCCCATGCTTTGAGTAGGTCACCTGCAACTTTTAGATGTTTTTTTTTTTGTTTTGCTTTTTTAAATGCTAAGTTTTACAGCTGTTAAATCTATGCACACCATTACCCAGCCTCTTTTTTCCTTTTAAATCATGAAATAGGGCTTAACTGAGGAAGGTAAGGCCTGCAGTGCTTTAGATGTTGTTCCAGTTGGCCTCCTAGAAAAGTCATTGATGTACTCTTGGGGCAGATTTTGAAGAGCTAGCTACTCCTAGAAAGAGTTTACAGTTGCTGTGAACATGATCAGGCTTGAGGTTAGGAAGTGAAAATAAACTTAACTAAAAACTCTAAATACTCTGCCAAAAAAATACTTAAAAAGGCAAACACAATTTAATTAAACATTTATCAAATATGGCTTTTACTACTTATTTTAGTTATAAAAACAAAATCTTTATTTGAAAATTTATTTCGTTTAGTTTTGTCTGATATCAAAAAGTGTTTCATGATGTGAATCAAAAGAGAAAAGAAATCAGCAAGGGGCAAATACTTTTTCACAGCTCTGTCGGGCTCAGACCCAACATGGGGGAAGTTAATGTGAGTCGAGGCGTCTGTGAAACCTCCCAGGAGTAAGGCTGTCTGGAGGTCACCAGTATTCCCAGGGGCCCATTTCCCCACTGAGACTCCCAAAGTCACATTCTCAGGCGTTTCAGCTCCAAAACGTATGTGCTTTATGAGGTGACTTTCCGCTACCTACGCAAGTAAAAACAAAACAAACAAACAAAAAAAATCCCTTTTAAAATCATAACTCACAGAGAGGCCAACCTCCCTGCTAAACCTGACAATCATGTAAACTTAGATAGCGCAGTTATTTTCTTTTCAATCTATACTTCATTTTTCAAACATGCTCTAATACTGGTGTTTTGATAGCCTTAGGTTTACACACTGGCAATGTGTAATCATGTTATATATAACTATAACTTTGGCAGGTAATTGCAGTAAGTAAGTCTAGTTGTAAAGCAAACATAAATCTCACAAGCTGACCTGCCAAAAGATGTGTAAAACAAAGTACAGTTAAATTTTTCTATATCAATCTGTGGGTTGCAGCAGCTTCAATACAAATGCTATTTGCAGGTTTCCAGGGATTACTTTTATAGACCTGGGTCTATAATATTGTTTCCGGATATTTTACAGTCTGCTTTTAAAATGAGATATGTACAATCCCTAGCTAAAGTATTTGCACGGTTTTTACTTTTGATTAGAACCACAGTTTTTAATGTACTTTATCTTAATAGATATGTTGTCATAAAAATAATGGAGTCAGCTAAAATTGTAGTACCCTTCTCTTCTCCGATTCCATCATCCCTGAACATACTATCCCCACATGGTGGTGGCACCATCATGCTGTGATGAAGCTTTTCTGCAGGAGAAACAATGAACCGAAGCTATTAACAGGGCAAGCCTAGAAGAAAATCAGCTGGGGCGATACTTCTAATTTATGATACCCCTAAATAAAATCCAATACAACCAAGTGCCTTTAAACATTATATTTAATAGTGTCCACCTGTGTTTAATTTCACCTCAGTATAAATGTAGTTAATACGTAAAGGCCTCATGCGTCAGTAACACAACACACAGACTTTAACAAGCTGTGGAAATTTGCACAAAGCAATACTGAAGTTCTACTAACCTGATTTATGTTACATTAGGTTAAATTAGGACTGCTTTTTTCTTTTCTGTTGTTTTTTGTTGTTTTTCTGACACTCTTGGTCTTTATTTTGAAAGTGTTCTGACAGGAAATAGGGTAGAGACAGAGGGGAAGGCATGGAGAAAAGGCCTGGAACACCAGGACGACTGCATGGATGACTGAGAACTTCATACAAGAATCATAGGATCCACCTCTGCACCAATTGAGATGCAGCTTGCACACTCTACTGGAACACTGCTTAACAGCACATGCACTAGCATAATTCCAAAGGATATTAACTTTACCTCATATGTACGTTATTGGTTCTTTTTTTCACCTCACGTATGATCTTGACAAAAGCCGGAGCTTGAACTCATATTCTGTATAAATTTGTGCTTTGTTCTTTTTGGGTGCAACGTTTAGGAGTGTAGAGAGCTTTCCACTCTATGTCTGCTCTGTAGGCGAGATGTTTCTTTGAGCCTTTCCTCTGTGACCTTAGTGGGATGTGCTGGGTGAGAAGCAGCACAAGCAGAACATTGCGTGAGCTGACAGGCAACATAACACTGCTTCAAGGACTGACTTTGTCACCTCTCTCTTTGTGAGAGAAATACAAGGCAGTTCCTCTGAAGGAAGCAAGTTGATCTTGTCATAGACAACACATTTTGGACAGTACTGATATGAAATGTGCTAAAACTTATATATATTTCATATATTTATACTAAGAGACACAGAGAAGGACAATAAAGCTGGGTCAAATCAGAAGATAATGTGAAGCAGCTGGGGTAAAATGAATGTAGGGAGACTGAGGAAGGAGACTTGTTACCTTGAATTGAGTTAAACCAGTTCTTGAAGGAGCAATGAGCAGATTTTTGTTACACAAGTGTGTTTTGGGGTCTTTCTCATTGATGTCAAATGGTATTCTGTGTTGTGAACTGAGGATCCTGTGGCCTCTCAAGGATGCAAATGCCCTTTTCACAATGCTATTCTTGTTCACAGAGTCAAATATATACATGCACCCAAAAAGACGTTAGAAAAAATAAATACTTTTAGAAAATGTACATAAACATGGAAAGGATAACATGAATTTCAAGGTGAGCTTCAAAATAGAAATCTAGACTAGGCCTGCAACTAATGACTATTTTACTAATCAATTTATCTGTTGATTATTTTTTCAATTATTTGATCAATAATTGGATGACCAAAGTTACCTTAAAGAAGATTTTACACAGAATTAAATCCAAATGAATCCAAATCTGTGCCCTTTAAGGACTTCAGAACAGAGGATAGTATTGGAAAAAAACATTTTTTCACCTTAAATGCAAAATGTTTATATATTATTCTTACAATTTTGATATAATTACTGATTTGAGAGGGTTTTTCTTTCAGGTAAAACCATGTTTTAGAGTCTATATACTCTTGTTAATGATTAATCGATTACTAAATTAGGTGATGATGATTTAAATAATCCATTAATCACAATTAATTGTTTCAGCCCTAATCCAGAACCAACTTCCTACCCTGTTTAATAAATGTTGAATAAGTCTTAGGTTTAAGCATTCAAAATCATCATATTGCCCTACTTTTTTTTTTTTTTTTTTTTACAAAAATTGATTCATCTGCTCACTTCTGAGAAGCATGGACTCATAAGTTAAGTAGGAATCAGGATGTTTTTGATATTAAGGACAATGGGAATAAGAAAGGGATATGATTAACTAAGCTTCAGTTCTTCATACCTTTTTTCTAAAATCACTGACCTATACATGTAAAGTAATTATATATCGGTTATCATAAGAAAATTTTTGCGTGGATTAAATTTGCATATTTACGGATTGTCTAAAATATTCATTAATTTTGTGGCTTTTGGACGAGGTGCCTTATTTTAGTCATATATCTTATTGGTGTCAATGTCAATAATGAATTCAGTCATGAGGAAAAAAAATGGCATATCAGTATCTCAGAATATCATTTTGTAGCATCTTAGTGGTTCTTGTGTTGTAGTTTTGAATTTAGTAAGCAACTTCTTTAAATCTGAACATGAAAGTCTGGGTTATTAAGTAGCAGCAAGTCGCTGTTCCAACTGGACAATGACATCCAATGGCAACAGAAAATGTGGAGTTGACTTTAAACTGGGACTGTATTTTCAAGAAGAGTACTGTAAATTATATAGTATACTCGTCTGACTTTTACATCTTTAGCCTCAAAATTGATCATTTTAATTGAATAAGCCCTTTTGCTCAGTGTGATCCTAATGTATGATTTTAATAAGTGGCTTTAGGATTTGGTGCCAGCATGCGCTTAGCAACCAACCAAAGCAAGACTCAACCCCTGCAGGCAGCTCCTGCATCATCCTACTGTCACTTTCAGAAACTGGAAAATAAATATTTTTATTGATTTTCTTTGAGGTGAAAGATGCACTTTACCTCTTCAGTGAAATAGGGAAAACTGAATCTAACCAGAAGACTCTTAAGGTTGCTGAAGCATGGTATTGGTAAAGGTTCTCTCCCCATCATGGCACTGAAGAAGCTAAGATAAAGCAGCTCCAGGGGTCTGGACTAGATCGAGTAAGGACTCAGAAAGGTGCTGAGGATCAGTAAACCGTGAGCTTTTAAATTGCTCTTTAAACTCGTTATGGCTGCCCGACTAGGAGTGTGTTTTCTAAGACTTGCTTGAGCAGCCGTGCGAATAGTGCAACAACAAAAGAACACAATCAGCATTTTTAAAAGATGCATGCTCTGCAAGTCTGCATGTTCCTAAAGGTCAGCAACGGCTGAAGACTTCAAAGTCAAAGTCGAGTGCTTTGAATGACTGATCATGCTGAGATTTATAAGGGTTTTATTTTTATTTCTACTTTTTGGGTTGTTTAAACTGGGTCAGTCCACGTTATAAAGGTTGTAAAAAAAAACGTTTTTAAAAACTTTTCTCCCTACTTTTCAGTATTTTTTAGTGATGTGATCAGAAATATTTTTAGGTGGAGAGAAGATAACATAATGAAGAACTACCCCTTCTCCACCTGTTGCTTTGCACTAAAAGTCAGCTGGATGAAAATAAAATCCCCACATTTCCCACCTACTTATTTAAAAGACAAATATATTAGTTTGAAAATATTTTTAGGAGCATAAAACATTTTTTTTCTGGCTATATGTCTTAAAGATGAAAGCTGTGCTGCCATTCCTCCACCTGCTGCTGTAACCTGCAGATTGACCTGGTAACTTACAGAGGGCTTCAGATTTTTTTTTCTCTGAAAAAAGAAAAAATCTGTCTGTTGGGGATTTTAGTCCAGTTTCAGAAAATAGCCTTATAGTGTGGAAACTATAAAAGGTGCCTATCATAAATCTTTAGTAACAATGCCTTATAAACTACAGCGGGCTAGCTGCAAACTTGTGTTTTAAATAAAGGATCCAATAAATTAGATCATTCTCTACGTACTTATTTTGAAAATGTATGCTTATATCATGATATAGTTAAACCTTGATGTTTTTACTCAAGATTAATATACTGTGAGAATGGCAACCTAAACATCAGCCTGTTATAAAAAGATGGTCCAAATATAACGATCTTCATTTTTTAAAAAGAACTTTGTTTTTCAAATGATTCATATTGGTTTTATCAGTCTATTTTTTTCAGGAGATCACTTTTCAAATCACTCAACTATTCTGAAATGATGTCTCCCACTGTTCAGAAGAAAACATTGAGTTACTACTGGCTGTAGGGAGGAGATATACAAAAGAATGTTTGGCATACGCACCTGCTTCATAGTGTTCTTTGGATCCAGGGCCTCTGGCAGTGGAGTCTAGGAGAAACAGAAAGAGGGGCTTTATTCTCATTCCCTCTGATCTACAGACTGCTATAAACCTCTAAAAAAAAACACTTGAACTTCTGCAGAGCAGTTGCAGCATGCTGCCCAAACCTGTTGGATGAGTTGTTTATGACAGCCCTTGCTGCATTAAATAAACAGATTTAACCAACTGGAGAGTTCAAGCAATTTTAATAATATTTTCACTGTCATAAAGATGAAGGTCGGCACAAATATAGTCTAAATCTGGAACAATTGTCTGAGAGTCTCTGACAGAGACATTAATCGCTATCAGAGAGTGGGTAGGTGTCGAGTGTGTATAATCAGTGGGTGGAGAGAGGAATATGCACAACCTGTTTCCTCACATGTTGCTGCTTTCAGCTGACTGCAATTATTGATTTTAACAGCATTTGATGATTTTTTTTCCCATTTTTTCCACTCTCTTGGCTTATCTTGCTACCACATATATATAATATACTCAGCAGTGTTATAGCTGCCCTTTGCCCTTAGTAGGACTTCCTCCTTCTTGCTTGGTTTTTATGTATTTATAACCTTCATGTTATTACTACTGTGTAACTGTGTTCCCACGGTAATTGTTTTCAATAAATCTAGTTTTATAGACTTATACAAGCTCATTCCAAGCAGAATTGAGTTATTCTCTATACATCATGCAAAATGTCCCAAATTCCTCATATTATATAGATTGTGGTGTACCATAAGGGTATGGATTGGGCTTAAAATTATTTCTTGGTAGAAACATAAATGCATTTTTTTACCAGTGTTTTTACATTTCGTCTTTAAACTCAAAACACAAATTATTAATGTTTAAGTTATAAGAGCATTTTTTCCACTTTTTTCATAGTCTATAAGTGATTGTGAATCTAGGAGACCATTAAGTTTGCAGGACTTTTTATTTTCTCGTTTTAATTATCTACCTTTCAAATGAACTGAAATCATACTCTTTTTTTTTAAATAAACAGAGGTTTATTAGGGTGTTATTAGGGTATATAAGTCATGTCCTGAATGCAGTTATTAATCCCTATGTGAATTGTGAGTGCAGATTTGTATAAGTGTAATATGTGATTGCTTAATAGGTTTTTGTATTTCGATTTTCAACTGTAATTACGAGTAAAAAGATGTAGGATTAAATAAACTTAAACTTCCTTGTTTTTTCCAAATACATACATTAAAAAGGATAAATGTGATAATTTATTGTTGTCCTTTGGTCATTTCTATGTTTATATAAGTGGGGTAGCAGAAAAACGTTTGTGTCACTGGGCTGTTGAAGTAAGGAAAGAGTTAAATATAAAAAAGCAATCATATGACATAGTTAACAGTGACATAAACAGTAGCTGGTGTTATTAATCCGGAGCTGTGATAAGGTCTTCACGTCAGTGATAAGCATCAGTGTCTCTATTCCTTCTGCAGCCAGACCTTTAGGCGTGTCTTATCTGTCCTGCAGTGCAGCCAATCAAGGCATGCACAACTATTCTGTTTCACCTTACCCAGAAGTTAAATGTTTTTTAACTTGAGTGAAAGAACACCTTAAAGAAAACTGAGACATTTATTTGAGATATTCTTTCCAAGCATGTCATTTGAATGTTTGTTAGTTACCCTCAAGCAGTGCACATGTCTCACCAGTGATGACTCCAGTTTGTCTTTTAAAATCAGCTCTAAAGCAAAAATGTGGAGGAACTGGTTGCCTTCCAGGACTACAGAGCAACACATACATAAAACCCTCCTAACGTGACAGAGCATGATGTCACGGTGGCCGAATTATCTTCTCATAAAGACAATTAGCTCATTTTGCAGAGTGCTCTTCTTTAGTTTGCTTAATGAAAAAACAGCAACTTAAAAATAAACTTGAAAGAGACCTTTACTCAATAATCTTGAAGAATTTCAAATGGAAAAGTGAAACACAGATACCAAACCCCTCAGGCTTCAGTGCTCATCTAGTCCTTAAATTCAAAGAAAAGATCATCATTTGCTCAATATCAACTAAGTCTCTTTCAGTATAAAAAAAGTCAATTTTGATTAAAATCTTCCCTTAAGTAACACATACTGCCTTGTATGTGTGAAAATTGTGCAAAAAAGATAATTTGTTAAATGATCTGGCCAATCAAAATGGTTTAGATGATAGGAACAAACGAAAAGCCTCAACAAGTCTCTACATATATATTTGTTTCTTTTTAATCATGTTTCTGCTTTTCCTAGAAACTAATGTTTTGTGGGGCTGACGAAAACAAACACACACCCTGTAGATTTACAGTTGTTTCTACTTCAGCGTTGTGCAAATTTAGAACCGGAGGCTTTCAACCCTGCTCTGTGTCTTCCTGTGACCTGGAAACAAAGCCTTCCACTTTGTACATTCTTCTCCACACCCCTCTGTAAAACTAGCGGGGGAGCTTCGGGAAAGGTGAACAATAAACAATACGCTATTAATAACCTGAGTTTAATAAAAAAAAAAAAAACTGGACATTCCAACATCCCTTATCTGGGGGTGCATACACAATATAGGGTTTTTGCTTCGGTCTACTTGAAAACATTCCTAAAATATCTATGAAAGAAGAGTAAAACTGAGGCGAATCAGTTTTAAAATGCTGCACTGAAGTAGATAATTTTGTTAATAGCAGTAGAAAATATTCGAAATCAGAAATATATAACTGAAAGGTTGTAGATCCCAAACTTATTAGCTTTTGGCCCTGGTAAGGGGAGAAAAGACATATTTTAATCTATAGGCTGGACATCCAAGCATTAACCCAAAGTAACTTAGAGCTTTAAGGTTTCTCCGCCTCCTCCTATACGCTGGTGGTCAGCTGACTGAAAGAATGCTACAACACTTTCCATCCTTCAGAAAAAAAAACAAAGATTTGTCTATAGATATTTCCGTTTGATAAACACCCAGACAGTTATGGTGTGGAAAAATAAATAGACCAAAAAACCATGTTGGTGACATCATCATGCTGTGGGCATTCCATTTACATTCGATCTATTTTAAAACTCAAGCTGAGAGGCTGAGACAGCTATGTGAAAAGGCCTGATTTTTGTGAGGCTCAATGCGGATCACTGCTTTATACGTTTTCTGTCCTCCTGAACTCATATCATCTGTGAAGTAATCCTTTTTTTTTTGTTTCCTTGATTTTTTCATAAATATGTTCTGCTTACTATATACTCAATGTGCAACAACACATTGTATTTGTTGTCCTAAAGTGGATGTGCTTTACTTTTTAACCACATCTCTCTTCCTGCCAGACCCATGAAATTGCTGCTGAATTGCTGCGTAGTCTGAATACAATAGACCTGGGGTCTATCTCAGTCAGAGCTATGCAAGCCCTCTTGCAAAAAATCGCGTTGGGTGTGATCATCCCCATTGACTCTACAAGAGAGCTAAACGCCATGACCTCGTCAGACACGATTTTCTGTCAGATCGGAAACAAAATCGGATTTGGTGCGTTCATGGCTTTAGGTTGCTGGTTAGGCTGATAAAATCATTACTATTGTAATAATAAATATTCTAATAGTTTTATGGCATTGGGAATAATAAATATTGTACGTTTTTTAAGATTAAAAAGAAGCAATTAGCTCTTTTATTCACTGGTAATCTCACACTAATCAAAGAACAAACAACACCAGAAGTTTTATTTATTTTCTTTTAAGTGTAAGCACTTTTTAAAAATATATCATTACTTTTCATAATATATCACCCTCAATTTCTGCTTTGTGATGCTGAGTTTGAGTATTTCTGTCAGTGGTTTCCCAACTACACCCTGACTCCTGTTGTAGGGTGAGGAGAACCCATATTTAGAATTAATTGAATCCATTATTACAGGTCAGACCGATTTTATTATAACAAAATATAAAATAAGTGCATTTTTGATCTCTAGGCACTGATCTCTGACTGACACAACACCAAATGGCATTTTTCTGATTACCAACTTGGTATGTCTTGACTTTTTTTTTATACTTCTCCACAACCAATGATTAGGTATTGCTATTTTTTGAGACCGCATCGAACTGAAAGTCCATAATCAGAAGACTGTGGATCACTGATTTACAAGGGATGAGTCTATGACTACTATGGAATAACTTAGCCTCATAGCTTTTAGTTTCACCCCCATCTATGGCTTCCTCTCCTGTTTCATCTTGCTCCCCCTTAGCCTTCTGTAGATCTCTTATTTTACTATGATTCTGACTAAAACTTAGAAATTGTGTAGAAGGTCCTACATTTATGCTTGTGATTATTAAAGATACATATGAGGGGCCATCTTGGGAGGACGACCCTGCTCATCTGGCCTTGGCACTCAGTTGGAATGGAAAATCCTCCCAGGTAGAAACCCAGAAACTAGGCCAAACAACCAGAGTTAGTACCAGTGGAAAAATGTCAAGTGGTCCTGTTCTAAACAGATGAAATTACAGGATACCTTTATATAATCTTACCTCCTTTCAAGGGACTAATGCTGTGATTGGAGTTTTCTTCAGCTATATGGAGTACTGCTAAAGCGCTATTCCCTCAACCCAATACACCACTGTTGAGCTGGCTGAAAATCACCATTTTACATTGTTTCTTGCTTAAAAGCTGTTAATATTTCTGGGTACTTATAGAACACATTGGGTTTAAAGTCCGCCACTTGGAAAAATGTGGCTTTTCCCCTTCAGGTCCGAGGAGATTTCCTCACTCAAGTGGAGCTCAAGTATCTTGGTGTCCTTTTCATCAGCGAGGGGAGAATTGATAGACAAATTTGTGTTGCTGCAGCTATCGTGGTGACGAGAGAACTGAGTGAAAAGGCAAAGCCCTGAATTTATCAGTCTCTACCTCACCAACGGAAATCATGAAATCTGGATCATGACCAAAAGAACAAGATCCCAGATGCAAGCAGCTTAAATTAGTTTCCACTGCAGAGTGGCTGGGCTCTCCCTTAGAGATAGGATAGGAAGGTCGGTCATCCGGGAGGCTCTAAGTAGAGCCACTTCTCCTCCACATTGATAGGAGTCAGTTGAGGTGGCTCAAACATCTGTTTCAGATGCCCCCTGGACACCTCCCTCGTGAGTTGTTCGAGGCACATCCAACTGGGAGGAGGCTCAGGGATGACCAAGGACACACTGAGGGGACTATGTCTCCCAGTGCCTCAGGCTTCCCCCAGCAGATGGATGAAATTTCTTGAGAGAGGGAAGTCTGGGAGATCCTATTGAGACAGCTACCACCTCAACCCAGTCCCCAATAATATTGTAACTCATTACTATGAGTACTAATAGAGGACAAACAGACATAAAGAAGTAACACCCTTCACCTTAGTAGTACCTTTGTAAAATTAAGTTAAAAAGTAATAAACTGCACCTGGATGTAAACAGTTTTAATAAGCAGAAACTTAAATTAGCTGCTTAAACATGTGTTACACTGCTCTTTAAAGAGCAAAATAGCTATAAAGACTGGATATCTATTACCAAACATGGAGGATGATTATATTATCATTAGGAAAAAATAATTACAAGCATGATGATGAATATGTAACATTAAAATTATAGATCATCTGAAAATGTAAAATGTATAACTAGGCATAATTAGCAAAGCTACTTTATATAGGTTGCTTTTTTTTCAATATAGAGAAACAAATGAGTTTTTTTCATAAACACATTTGAAAGGAAAAATAAATAATTTTTCCTCACAAGACCACAAAATGTTTGCCTTAAGCATAAGAACTAAGATGCACATTTCAGGTTATGATATATTATAGGGCTGAAACAATTAATCAGATTAATCGAATATTGAAATAACCGTCAACTAATTAAGTAATCGATGAATCGTTAAGTGGAGTATAGACTAAAACCCCATTAGAGCAGTAATTATGCCAAGATTGTAAAAAAATATGTGAACATTTTGCATTTATGATTAAAAAAAAAGATTTTTGTCTTTAATATGTTCAATCCAGAACTCCTAAAGTGGAAACATTTCAGTTTCACTTTATTTTTATTTAGTAAACAATCTTTTGGTTTTCCAATTATTAATTGATTAAAATAAAATAAAAAATCAACAGATTAATCGATTTGGAAAATATAACTTAGTAGAAGATAACCCTCAGATCTTAACCCTTGTGAACAACATCTGGAATTTGCCAGAAAATCATGATTACAGTTTTCTAACTTCAGCAGTATTAAATAACAATCCATTTAAAGAGACACTGTGGCAATAAAGTCATTTTTGAGATCCTGAATATATTTCAATAACTTTAGAAAATAAAAAAACCGACATGCAGAAATGTCTCCGCAGTAATCAGCACATACCCAGCTGATGCCCCGTATGCTCGGTTTCTCCACCGAGTAGCGATGAGGGAACACTTGATAATTATGAGTCCGAAACAGATGCATCTTGAGTCAAATCAAAACCACCGAGGAGCAAGTTTCCCTGTCAGAGGAACCGCACACGTCTGCTTCAGGTCCACACATTATCCCCAGCACACAGCTGGCCGCCCTCTCATTTCTGCACGGCAGCCACTCAGCAGCGGCGTCAGCGCATTTTGAGACACAAAATCCACACAAGACCTTGTTTCTGTCTTCCTTTCGCATCAAGAAGTGAGAGCTTTCAGGACGTGCCTGCCTCAGTCAGGAAGAGCTGTGTAATGTTCAGCCATCCCGTGCGGCACAGGCGCACTTTGTAGCAGAAGTGCGTGTGCGCGCACTTTGGCCAACAACTCCCTGAAAGGCGGCCTCCCTCTGGCAGCTTTACTACCCAATTAACGATGCTGGATTTATCTGCTCTGACATATTTGGACTGGATGCGGGCAGGTGCATACTATTCTTTATTTCCATATTACATGAAGCTTATAACACAAAAATACATCTTGGTACATAAACATTTATTCTACAGTTATATGTCTGTACATATTATGTATGTGAACAAAAATCTTTTGGTTTTATTATGCTTAGTGTATTTAATAATTTTTAAAATGTGTCCATTAAGAGCAATTCCTTGACCTGAAGATTAGGTGATCAGTATTTAGGATGCAGGTGTCCATCCTATAACCTGAGAGTTGTAGGTTTAAGTCCTAACTCTGTTCTAGTTGTTTTCCGGAGCAAAACTTCACCCACATTTACTACTGATAATAGCCATAGTGTATGGCAGACTTGCATCTGTCAAAGTCCATCCATGACTATGTAATTTACCCACCATCTGTGAGTGTATGACAGGAATCCCCTGTCATTGAAAAGGTGTTGTAAAGTTGGGGACACACCATTTGAGTTGCCAACCATTGTTTGCTTTAGAACAGAGTCCTGAGCAGTTATCTTAAATACACCAAACTCAGTGAACCATAATGTACTTGGTCCTGCTTCTTCAGTCAACACTAAGTATGAAGTGATGTTCCCCTGCAGGTATTGTAGTTTGTTTTGTTCAAAAGCTGCAGAACTTTGCGCGCACACTGTTATCAGGTGAACCAGCTTTCTAACTCAGACGGCCTGTAGCAGCACAGATAAACTGCAGCAGAACAACATTTAAAGTCCTTTATTAAAACTTGTGTCAACTCTCTTTTTGTTCTTAATGCAGGTATTAAGCTGTTATGTTCACATACCAGGTTCGTGGGATCATCAAGTTCATAGTAAAAGTTCAGCTGTGCTATAAAAATTCATTTTGGAAGGTATTAAATACCTAAAAACACACAAAAAAAATGTCAAAATGTTGAAATCAGGGATGTTTGAAAAATACTATTTCTAATAATGGTTAATTTCTAATAACACCTAATAAAATCCTACCAAAAAATGTCTCTAGAATATAAGTCAGGATGTTGATTTACTCAGTTGTTATTCTCGTGAATCTATAGACAGTAACACCCATGGGTGGTATCATAGTTTATTATACCAGCATAGAAGAATTTAATAACTATTAAAGGACTTCAGATTAAGAACATTTCTTTGTTGGATGTCTTTTGTTACCAGTAGGGTTGCCAACTCTATGAAAATTAAATAACGGACACTTACCCAGGCATTGTCTTTGACCCTACCATGTATGAATTTATTTTTTACCTTTACTTGTGTCTGTTAACTGAATTTAAACATTTAAATAAACACCAAAATAAATGAGACAATAATTTTGTTTCTTAATATGGAACATTGCCTTTTTTTCAAGGGACATTTGCAACCGGATTTACAAATTGAAGTTTCTGTCTTGCTACGGAAGTTAAGCTAGTTTACCTTGTTAACAACCGCACAATAGCTAAGAAAAGCACCTTATAAACATGCTGAACCCCTTAACTCAGCCATATAACCCTTTGCTATAGTTACCAGAAACAAATTGCTAATTAAAAAAATAAAGAGTTCATTAGAATTAATAAATACTTTCTGTTATAGCTGAATTATGATAGTGCTAATGCTAAACTTGCTAGGAAATAGACTTTGTAATCTCTGTCCCCTGCCTGCTAGTTTCTTAATCCTGAGGAAGTCATTTTCAGTTAAATAGATTAAATTCAATGAGATGCAGTTTATTTAGACAGAATCCCTCCATCCATCTATCAATCTTCTGCCTATTCTGTTCGTCTTAGTGGGGTCAGTGACCATCTCTGCCAATCTATTTTCCAGAGGCAGGGGACACCCTGGACAGAGACACACAAAGACCTCCAACCATGCATACACACTCAGATCTAAGGATAATTTAGAGATGCCAATTAACCTAACATTCATGTTTTTGGAGAGAACCCCCACATGCTGGGGGACAACAAGCAAATTTCATGCAGAAAGCCCAGAGCCAGGAATCAAACCCGGAAATAAAACGGTGCAGCAGGTTTTTAAAATGCCTTTTACTATATATATATATATATTAAAAAAAATCCCATTTAATGAAATGAGCATATGGTGGGGTTTTAAATAGGGTTCAATTTTGTCATGACCTGGTTTATGAAATATACATTGAATTGTACAGATCCTGTGTCTGTCCAGTTCTAGATTATGGAGCAGGAGTCTGGGGTTCCTGTCAACAACTCTATAGTGAGAAAATCCAGTGCAGAGCCCTGCACTATGTCCTAGGTCTGCACTTAAACACTCCCAAACTGGCTGATGATGGCGATATGGAATGGGAACTATGTCAAGTCGGGTACAATGGAGATATGGTGAGATTGTGGAACAGATTATCAATAAATCATAGATTAACAAAACACATTTTCCATTGGGACTCCAACATTAATATATGGGTTGGAGAGATTTAGGTTATGTCTGAGAAGGCTGATTTGGAGTAAATTTATAGAAATAAAATGAGATATAATAATGAACAAATAAAATAATTTTATTTTAAAGTTTATACAAATACATGGGTTAGCAATATCCCATATTTAAACAAAAAAGTGTTTTTTGTCATATATACTGTATATGCACAGCTCAGATATCTTACTTTGCCTTTAGCATTAGAAATTAGACTGTTTCAGTCAATCCCAGAGGAGGATCAAAAATGTTCCCTTCAGTAATTAAATTAAACTGAAGATTAAATACACTATGTCTTTTATTATTGTTATTAGATGATTCTCAGAAATAAATAGTTGGATAAATTCCTTGATCTTAACCCAGATTTCTTTCATACGAGTGAGGAAAATATACCACAGTATTTATTTACCATTTGTTTCAGTTAGCCAGGTGCTAGCCCATAGGGGCTGAGGACCTTTTACAGTAAATGGCACAAAAAAATTTAACTCTATCTATCTGTCTGTATAACATTTTTTGCCAAAATCACACTAGTTCATATTTCTAAGAGTCAAACCGCACTTATTTTAATGACAAAATTATATGGATATTAAGTTATAATTTGGCTAATTTAGCTGAGTCAGGAAATGAAAGAATTTATTAGAATTAAACGAAAATACCTACACATTAAATGATGTGTACTTTTCATCAGTGCGTGTTTTACTTGTTAATGCAGATTACTTACTTCACCAATATCCGGTGTGCGCCGTCTCGGCGCTGAACAGAAGGATTTCACCAAGTTTTCCATGGAAAAGTCTGCTTGAACAATATCTGAAAGGCAGAAAAGTGAGATAATAATTAGGTTTGTTATTTTACACAAAATAAAAACTAATGTATTGTCATTTCTTTCTTTTTTTTGATTATGCAGTGTAACCCGATACAGACATTTTGCAACAAAATACAATGTCATTCATTTCAACACTTGAATTCAGATTGTAAAACTCAATGTACAGATCAGTCACTCTGAATTTATTCTCATCATTTAGGCCAAATATTATGGCTTACTTAAAGTAGACCCGGCATTGATTTGCTCAAACTCAGCATAAGTTTTTCTTTTCAACATATTTAACCACACTTTTTTCCCACTCAACTTTTAAATGCAGAACTTGGATACAGTACTCTGCATAAGGCCAGCTTCATTAGAAATAACCTTTTTGGCTTACCCTCTTTGTGGATGTCTTCGACATCTGTCAAATCAGAAGTCTTCTCCATGGCTGTGTTTGAGGTAAAATAACAGAACATTATTTTTTTGCAAAAGTAGTTAAAGATAAAAAACAACATAATTAACGAATGTTTTGCTAGTGTTGAACTATTAAAATAAATGTTTGATGATATGCTTATGTTATGTACCCATGTAGGTCTACAAAATGTAAACAAGATATACTTTCTCTTACATCATTTCCCCTTCATTTGATCACAGTCAACTCTGTCTTGCAGTCTGTTATGCAAGAATTGTTTAAATCCCTGCCATTGTTCCAAAGCGGGGCTGCCCTTCCTGTGCTGACCTGAGAGTCAGTCCGTTTGCCAAGGTTTTCCACAAGGCACTCTGAGGAACGTCAGTTCTGTCCTGCTTTCAGTGCATTGATCTGCTTGTTCCCCCAGTTGGACAGTCATAGGACAGCATATTCAAACAGCCTCTTTTGTTTATGTCATTAAAAGCCAGGGCACCTGCAGCTCACCTCAGCATTTTGTTTTTCTTTTATAGACAAATATTACATTAGCGCGTGTGGGCGAAGGATGGATTAAAAAGCATGCAGAAATCAGTTAGCTTTGTTCTTATTGCATTTGCATCAAACACATAAAAAAATACCCCACTCTTTTTAACCCACAGTGATGCATGTTTACTGCAAACATCAGAAAAAAGAAAGAAAAGAAAGAAACACCTAATCGGTTTTGACCTTTTAGGAGTCATTCATTATGCCCAAGAAGAAAACACAAAAAGTTAGAATCAAAAGGTAGAAACAAAGCAAAAAGTCTTTATATGGCTGAAAATGTCTGTCCTTTGGCTAAACCTGATTTTCTTTTTCCCTTTAAATGTCATGTAGAAGTTATGTAATGTCACAATATGTAGACTCACATAAAAGGAATCCATCCTATGATAGTGAACACAGTGACAGTTGACAGGAAAAGACATATTTGGGCAGTTTGATGGTATCAGACTGTCTAGACTGACTTCTGTGCTGCTCATACTTTACAGAAATAAGGCTGTTGAGACTCATGTATGTTTATGCCAAAAAGAAAATAGCCACTGGAGGCTGATCTGTCAGTGATGATGGGGATATTAGAATACAGGGATTAAAAACAGATTATTTCCTTGATAAATAAAAATAATGATAATTACCTTCTGGTTCTGGGTTAACATGAAAGATGCAGCAGAAAAGTTATATTTCAGC